AATGCATATGCATTTGACCCTCCTTAACAGGTTTTGTTGCTAGCGGGTGATTTCTGAAAAGCAAACATCCCAAATAATTAGCGGAAAAATGTAAGCCAGATGATTCCCCTGGGTTGCCAAAACACGCTAATCGGAAAAATGTGCTCTTTTCAGTGTTGGCTCGTTTTGCTGCGAGGTGCACCTGCATCTGCTCACCAGCCTCCGCCACTCCCAAATAGAGCCTGAGACTTTTTAGGAGCCCAAAGAATAATAGAAAAATGATGGGAGGTGCCCGAAATATGGTTTTTCTTTCCTCAAGTTGTCATGAGTCGTCCGGGTTTAGAAAGTGAAAACAGCTTTTTCCAACATTGATTCTTCAGTTGTCAGGCGGTGTCAGGCGTTCAAAACGTTCATGAGAGGTTTTCACGACCAACACATTTTTTCCATTGGACTTGTACCACCTCTCCTCGAGTTTTCAGGCTGGTGAAATTTCTGGTATAGGGTCAACAGCGTGATGCGTATGCCCCCAAAGGATACAAAAGGAGAAAACAAGCTCGCAAGCGCTAACCGCTAACCATTCCACAAACCGTTTGTCACCATCTTTCCTAGGAAACCGTTTTGTATCGTCAACCTATGCTTAGATGACATCAAATGACCGACTTAACCACAACATATATGGTGTTTTATGGTGTTTTAGTATGAATCCATTCACAACCCAAGACTAGTTGGTGGTTTCGACCCCTCTGAAAAATATTAGTCAGTTGGGATGACTATTCAAAAAATATGGAAAGTCATAAAATTCCATGGTTCCAGTCACCACCAATCAGCAAGAAAATGATCACCAGATGCTGCACTTTTTCAAGGTTCGTCCAGGTTGACCTTTCTGAAAGGCCGCCAGGTCGTCTCAACGGCGCTGCACCGGTGGCAACCAAAGAAACCACCGGCGCAAAGCGCGCGCGTCGTGAACGTCGTGGCCGTGGAGACGAGCTCGGAGGCTGACCGCGACCCCCGGCAAAGCGCCAGAGCACAAGACGGTCGTGGCCCCGGGGCCGCCGAGGGTCGTTTTTTTTGACAAGGAAATGACATATATATATATGTATGTATATATATATATATCTATATATGTGTGTATGTGTATATATATATATATTTGTACTATAGCAATCCCAACAAAAAGGTTCAAATCATCACATTTTGTTTTGACATATTCTAGTAGGATTTCACTCAATTGCATTTTTTTTGTGACTGAGACTATACTCATATACATAATGCATACCGTCTGGTTATTTAACATAGCCATGGAAAATCACCATTTTTAAGAACGGTAAACCATCTATTTCTATGGGCCATGGAAAATACCATGGCTATGTTAAATAACCAGAGGGTAATTGAGTATTCACATACATGACTATCGTATAATGGGGGACTGCCTGGTTCTGCCAGCTGGGGCCCCATGGGCCCATGGCCCTTGGCCGAATGCCAAGATATGCCAGGTGGGTGCCCTAATGTGCTCACGGGTCAAAACGGGTCAAAACGGTAATGGTAAACCAACTAGTTGAATGGTTCTCATGATTAGAATTATTAAAAATGATAATAATTATACAATGATTCTTGCAATGATTAAGAATTATAAGTTAAAAACTATCATGATTATTATAATTATACTTCCTGTACAGTTCCAGATTTTGAGACGGTATTGGTTGCCTCACCCCCCGTTCGAAAAGGCATAGGCAACGGCCTCATTTCAGAGCCGCCGCCAGATTTTGTTCGGTGCAAGAAGCAGCTGGATTTGGCCGACGGCGCAGTCAAAGCATCGGATTGATCATAGGGATTGATCATTGGGGATAGTTCAATATATATCTATAGTTACTATAGTTCAATATAGTTACTATAGTTCATGATATAGTTGAAACATGGTGATATAACCACATTACTATAGCTGGTTGGTGGTGATTTCAACCCCTCTGAAAAATATGAGTCAGTTGGGATGATGACATTCCCAATATATGGAAAAATAATCCAAATGTTCCAAACCACCAACCAGTTGAGATTGCTGAGATTGCTGAATAATGGATATGATATATTGTGGTGATTCGACAATTATTCAGCAATATTATGGGATATAATGATATATCGGATATATCAACAATTAAACATAATGGATGTACATATTGCACATATAAATAGAATATATATATATATATATATGGATGTAACTATTTAACTATATGCGATGTCCATATCATTTCTAAAATTCACTCGTGATTCACTAAAAACCGAAGTTCGGCCCGTTTTGGGATGCCAGAATGGAGTGCCTGAATGGAACATCGGCCCGTTTTGTTGGTTCAAACTTGTGACACTCACTCCCAATATCTAAACCAAACCAAGGTTTACTGTACCAAATATGAGGGTTTCAATGTGACATATTTTTTGATAAAAAAACACCAGTACATCAACAACTCATTGGTTTGAAGCCGGTGGACTATGACGAATTCTTTGGAGCACCCCAATACGGTCATCAACCAAGCCTGGCAATGGGAAGCACCCTGAATCAACATGACAAAAACGTTCCAAGGCCGCGGTTGATCAGAAATACCCCCTACCCATAGGATCCATGGTGCTGGTATATATGCTAACATTGGGGGTATATTGATGGTAAATGTTACCATATATAGCAGCACCATGGATCCTATGGGATACAGGTAATAAAAAAAATCTATCGAATATGGTCATGTATAGTTCATTGACAAAACTGTGATTTTCTAGTTCGCTGTGTTAGTTTACCGGAGGGCATGTGCTAGTTGAACATCTCATTCGAAAAGAACTGTCTAGTCATTTCACCTTTTCCGTCACCTCGTCAGCCCAGCTGAGTGAAACTCATCTTTGGCTGAATTTGAACCTCGATGACCCCTGGAGGAGTCTTGACATCTTGCCGGCAGCTTGGGCACAGATTTGCGATTGTCCGGAAAGCCATGCAGTATGTTGGGCTCAAAAATCTGAATTCTTCCAACTATGTCTCCCCATTCCACATCCTATCAAGGGGGATCAAGGATGATCAAGGTGTACCTACGATCTTTTATCCCCATGGCCCATGGCCGCTTGGCAAATGTCGGAAGCACCGTGGCAACTGCACTCCTCATATCGTCTGTGCCAAGCCTGTGATGGGGGAGAGAAAGGGGATCATCCTCTGTAGCAGAAAATCACATGGAACATCCCCTGAAACTCGGAACAGTTTTACCCTCTGGTAAACGTTTACATAGCTATTGGAAATCACCATGTTTTATGGGAAAATTCACTATTTCTATGGCCATTTTCAATAGCTATGTTAAATTACCAGAGGGTAATGATTTCATGGAGAAACATTGGGAAAAGGTGGATGGGAATATATTGAGAATACAGTGGAATATATATGTTGGATGTACGTTGAATGTGCGTGAAAATGGGGTAACCCGCCACTAATTAAGATACTAATTGCTATTTCCCATAGGATCCATGGTGCTGGTATATATGCTAACATTTGGGGTATATTGATGGTAAATGTTACCATATATACCATACATGGATCCTATGGGTTTTAGAGGGAACATTAATGGAACATCATGAGGAACCAAGTTTTCGTAGAGAGCTACCCACAGTCCTCACTTCGGCATTCCGAAGCCAGTTGTTTTCTGGGGGCGGGGTTGCACAGTTGCACCTTCCATGTTTCAGGGGAAAGAATGTCTTGACTTCCAAGACCTTTAAAACAAGCACAGTTTCTCCCCTGGTGCAGTTTCGAGACCTTGAGGCATTTTGGCTCGAATTCAGGCCAATCACATCAATACACGCTAATGAATGGTATATATTATATAATGATATACTCTTTGGGTGAAGCGCTGGTACGGTAGAAATTTCTATTTCTCATGACTGTCTCATCTACTTCAAGGTATTCTCCCGGGGTATGGTTGCGGGGTTGCTCCGCTCAGCTATTTCCAAGTTTGGCACTACAACAGTATCATGATTTTTCTGTGTTATGATCTGTATCATCATCTGAGTGTGAAACGATGTTATGATGGTGAGTCATTACAGTATCATAACAGTTGATTAAAATTAAAAATAAATGATCATATTATGTTTCTGTGTTGATTAAAACAATATAAATGATCATATTATTGTTCTGTGTGTTATATTATTTATTATTTAATCATTGTCACCATCATTGGGATGTCAACTGTTATGATTCACGTCTGAAAGACTTCGGGCAGATCTGACAAAAAGTCACCCGGTGGGTCCAATCATCGCATTCATTTCCAGAATCTCAGATGGATAAGTCCCTCTATTCAATGGATTGGTTTTGTTGGGAAAATTCTAACCGGAAAGCCCCACATGTCATGGAAAAATCTATGGTTTCCGGTTGAGATTTTCCCCGAAACCAATCCATTGATCTATTTGCTGGGTGACATCTCCTGTGACATCTCCTGGTTCAATGCCGACTAACCATGAGATTGACAAGTCATGAAAGCCGCCATGGCAATGCGGTTTTGCCAGAATAAACCCCTAAAGAGGGTTGATCAATGGGAGGTTCTGATTCTAGACCTACCCCAGTTTGATAAGACCCCGGTTCTGTCAATTGGGGAAGTACCCCAATTTTTTTGTGTTCCAAATGGGATCCTCACTGTGGGACCCAGTTCCTCGGTGGCTCTGGAAATTTAAGAGTTAGTTGTAGACAATCACCACTGTTACAATAGGAAAATCATTTGTAACCGGGCCATGTTCCATAGCTAGGTTAGTTCACCAAAGGGTATTTCCCATTCATAATTCATATCCCAAAGAATTAGATGATTGTTGGTCCAATCCCATTTAATCAACAAAAATCCCAATTGAACCCCCTAAAATCCTACAAGATACATATAAAATGCCATACATTCCTTCAAACATTACACAAAATCCAATAGAAATCGATAAACACATGGGAAAAGTGACCTCCTTGATGTATCCACCACTCCGCAAGTCCATCGTTCTGTCCGCATTCGCCTGTGGCACGATCAGTCGCTGGTGGCAAAGTCCTTGTCCCAGCCAGTCCTCAAAGTGACAGGATGAAAATCAGCAAGATTTCATGGTCAACTTTTGATCTGGTTGGTGGTAAAACTACCCCTCTGAAAAATATGAGTTCGGCAGTTGGGATGATTATTCCCAATGTAATGTCTAAAACACCAACCAGTGATAGTCCACAAAAAATGTTTTTTTTTTTTTTTGTGAAATTCAAGCAGAAGTTGGGATATAACCATGGTGAAATAAAGGCCATAATTAAGTTAAAAATACCCTGGTTCATGGGTCAATCTTTGATAGTCCACAACACATGTCATCTTTTGCTGGTTGGCTGGTGAATTTCCACTTATAGCAAAAAACAAGTCAAGGATCAGACTACCCATCAAACGTTGGGGATGGTTTCCGTTGGTGGCTGGTGGTTAGTCACAACGAAATGGGATTTTATGAGATTTAATGATTGTTTTCATGCTGAGGATGGATGAACATGGAGGTTTTACTATGAACAATGGGGATTTCATCTAGTTTAATGGGTTTGAATCTCAGCGAGAGCGGTTGTAATGATGATACACATACATATAATATAAATATATATATTATTATTATATATTTAATGGGGATATAATGCACATGTAATGGGAACTTAATGGTAATGGAGATGCAGACCATTTGAATATTAATCCCGTCCCCTTTTCGTACACCCCGGAGCTATGGTCGAATGTGGGTTGTTTTTTTCACAGTATCATCCCGCATAGGGGTCTAAACTTGCTTGTGATTACCCTCCAGTAAATTAACACTTCGACCCTGGCATGAAAATCAGGGTTGGAAGATGAGGTTCCACTAGAAAATGACTATTTTCAGAGTCTGTCTTAATTTACCGGAGGGTATATATGTGCAGCCCTGGAAGCCTCTGGATGATTGATATGGATGGTTGAGCAATATTGAGATATGGATATGTTCATAAATCTGGATATGATATGATATGATATGCATGAAATTCATTTAAAAGTACATAAAATTAAATTATCATGACTATCCACTGGCAAGTTTCATACGTTGCATTTTTTGAAGTGGAAATCAGCTCCCACCTCTGTGGCTACCTGTATATAGTTTCCATGGATTGCTGTGAGTTTATTAGTGGGTGAGCATACATGCTACAAGTATATGGATATCAAACCAGAAATCATCATTGCCTGTTGCATATTTGTTTCCACCATTTTTGTTCGCCCATGCGCACCTGGCTTCTATCCCAAGTTTTTGCCTACATCCATTTCCAACTTAGAAAAATGATTTTCCAAGCTCCTTGTTTACTACGTCGAAGCCGACATTTCACCGGTTGAAAGATTACCCCCCCCCAACAAATGGTGATTTTCACATTTGATGACCTTACTTCTCCGATTTGGTGCTTAGATGTTAGATCATTGGATTGGTTTAAGGGAACATTTAAAGGAACCCCCTATGAATCCCTATGACATTTCATTGGAAAAACCATTGTTTCTTAAAAACATGCCCCAGTTGGGGAACGAACGGCACGCGTGTCGTCCCGCTTTCGGCCCAAGCGACTTGGGATCTTTGTAGGGCACCTGCGAGTTCGCCGGAGGATAGTTGGGAGGGTCGTTTTTTTTTCGCCGGCGATTTTTTCGGGGAACCGCTATGAATGAGGGGTTTCTATGGCCTGGAGAGGAACATTTCACAATCATCCAGGATTTTGGCCAAGTTCGAGTGCAAGAATGAAATGCCTAACATCCCCAGATGACAAGATACAAGGCCATCATATGGATTGATTGATGCTTCCGTTTATGGTGCTTGTCCAAACTTGGGTTCGCCAAAAACACATCAGCTACTACAGAATGGCCCCCCCCAGTTATAAGTTGGTTTATAAACCATTATAATCCCCATTAACTATAGTTATATCTACCATAAACCATTGTTAAGCCACTTATAAACCAACTTAGCTATCTTGGGGGCCCCACCCTGTACAGTTACTGTCTGTTAAGACATCAAATCTACCATTCTTTTGTGGTTGATTCATATTCATCCCTGGCCCAAGAGCTGACAAACTTTGCGGGGGGCACCTTGTGTTTACCGTGTTTACTCATTGTGCTACTCATGCGTTTTCACAACGCAACCAAAAAACCTAAGTGCGGCAACTTATACATATTAGCAATAAAACAGTTTTCTTACAAATTAAAAAAGAATCAATATTTTTGTTTACTCCCATTGGTTCACACGTTTTCCCGTGATCGCCTGTGGTGGCATGTCTTCCCGGTTGGCACTGAAATTCTTCATATCCTTCTTGCTCTTCACAGTGGGAGCCTCAAATGGCCAGGGGGCAAAGAACATCACGGCTGTTGGTACACGGTACGGTGCTTCACGGTTCTCCGAGGAATCGTCTCTTTTCTTGCTGGTTGGTATGGAATGGGTAGATATTCCCATGTGGATGTATGGCAAGAATCAAGGATTGAAGTATATATATATAAGTACATAAAGGTACCAATCCATACCAATCCAAGGTTAAGCATTCAATTGCCCAACCATTACTTAATACCCGCTTGTCCATTTTGGACAACTGTCGGCCGCTCAATGTCGACATGTCCCGACCCAAACAGGAATAGCCAAATGTAATTGTGGTATATCCATCAATTTTCCCGCCTGTCACTACCTGGTTGGTGGTTTCAACCCCTCTGAAAAATATTAGTCAATGGGAAGGATTATCCCATATATCAATATATATCATGGAAAATAAAATTCATCTTTGCAACCACCAACCAGCTACTTGTCATTTGTCAAGCAATCTGCAACTCCCCTGAAACAGTAATCCTCCACAAACGTGTGGCCGTGAGCTCCCTATATAGGGAAGCTCAAAGAATTTCCATGGCATTCCGTGGCATTCCGTGGCATTCCATGTTGCTAATGTGAGCATTTTGGGGGCTGGTCAGTGACCATTTCAGATGCTAAACCTCATGAGCTCACTTTGACTGCGCAGCAGCTTCCCTTCTGCGTGCTTTGGGCTGGTCAAAATTCATTTTTTTTCAGGAGAAACTCCACCGAAACCATCAAATATACCATCAAATATAGGGCTTTCCGGTTAACATGCTCCCATCATTTAATTCCGTGATTTCACGATGATGGTCCCTTGCAGTCGAGGTGCATATGGAACCTTCATGGTCCTTAGGTTGCTGCGGGTGCGATGGTGACCTACTAGAAAATTGTATGTATATATATATATATCAATCTATCTATCTGTAGCTATCGATATGCATTGATTTATATCATATATTATTGGACTCAAATAATTTCTACATGTATACTGTATATATAGTATATATAGCTATATATATATATATAGATATAGCTATTACAGTATTTAGATATAGATATAGCTATTATGGACTCAGCCTACAAGAGAAACAAATCAGTGGAATGCTGGGCACGGAGGTCCTGCAATATTCTTCATTGACTTGGCGTCAAAAAAAAACATCAAAACACGTGTTATTCCTGTGGTGTTTTTTCCTGAAACCTATAAATATCTGGGTAAATGATAATACTTCACTAACTTGAAATAAAGCCAGCTATGGGGATCATCTCCCTGAATAAAAACATGATTCAAGCGAGCGAGAACGGTGAGGTCGTTATATTTTACCGAGGTACATGTATATTCATATCTATATAGTCATCTGAAAATATAGTCATCCTGGAGTAGATAGAATATTACATGTCAATAAATCTTCACTTAGCTAAAATGAAAATATCTTTGACAATTCCGTATTCTATCTAGTGCAGGATGATTATGTACAATGTGGGGCCCCCCAGTGATGTTAGTTGGTTTAGATTCGCCCCAGTAACTAGTTCGTTATAGGTACCATAAACCATAGTGACATTGGAGTTATGTGCACCAACTGAACGCTATCTTGGGGGGCCTCACATTGTATGTATACTATATTATATATATATATCTATAGATACCCTCCGGTAATCAATCATGGCAATGGACAGTATCCCATTTATTTCGATGTTTTTTTTTCCCATGAAAACCGTTATCTTTTAGGACATGTTCCTGTTAAACTCACGTTTGATTACCTGAAAAGGTACAAAGTTAACTAAATGGGAAGTTTATGCCTCCAATAACTTGGGTTTTTAGTATAGATATATCTAAAAAAAATATCTAGAATCTATACTTAATGGAGGTTATCAACCATCGCCAAAATTCATGGCTGATTAATTTGCTGATTAAATCCCATTAAGTCCCCCAAAAAAACTATTCTATTCCTCATAAATCATAATGATCCCATGTCAATATTAAACATCAGCTGACTGGTCCCATTTCAATGTGGAATTCATTGGAATTCTCCTACTTTACCATACCCATAGGATCCATGGCGCTGCTATGGTAACATGGATCCCAGCAATATATCCCAAATGTTAGCATATATACCATACATGGATCCTATGGGATAGTATCTGGGGGGATCTTCAATATTAAATTGCCGTTTATTGGTGCTGTGTGAAGCTCTTTGCGGCCAGCGCACATGCCTTCCATGGCAGCCCAATCGAAGCCGGTGAACCACTTTTGCGACTTGACATTTTGGATGCCTCGAGCAGCACAGGTTCAGAACATCAAATATGTTACTGACAAACAAGAAGAATTGAGTCACATACTGACAGTGACTACTGTTATCTTAGATATATACTATGATATAGAACAAACACCTTTTTTTTTCCTAAAGTATAGATACATATAGATACTATATCATGATACATTGATACCACATTATATGTACTACCCAGTCATGGAGCTTTCCAAAAAGTCACGGCGGGCCAGTCCCCAGTTGTTGCCTCCCTTCTTCATAGGCAAGCGCTCCGTGGGATTGGCGTGGCACAGGCCCTTGACCTCGGAGACACTCGGAGTTCCCATGGGAAATCCCCATGGGAAACACCTGGGATTTTCCATGGAAAAACCATGGGTTTTACCCCATGGGAAATCCCCCGAAATCGAAATGACAAAACAGGAGAAATCGAAATCAATGGTCGTCATCTTTGATCCTTCACAGAAAATGGTCATCTTTTGCTGGTGATCAATCTTGGGGTTGGGTTGTTTCATGGGGACTCAGTCAGATATACAGATATGGAGAGTGCAGTTGAGCTTACTCTTATGGCTAGAATACCAAACCTCCATAGGTTGAGAAAGGGGGGCTAGTTTAACTATGGTTATAGTCTATGGTTGTAGATCTGGATCTGCACTTCCGAGTATACATGAATCTTCCAAAGGACACACATACAATTGTTCATTTGCATGTTTCCAAACCAATGCATATCCAGGTATGTATGACATATAAATGTATGTATAAGCCATTACTGTGTATATGTTTTTTGTGACACGTGCACGAACATATGTATACATTGCCCTTTTCACATGTTATACGTATGATTATATATATATATAATTCAATATATAATTGTTATCTTTATTAATATATAATACTAATTTGAATTGCGCTAGGGACCGTTTTTTTGCAACCAACAGCTCAAGGGCCCTAAGTCAGGGTAGGTTTGAACCAAAAGCCACACATGAGGACCATGGTGTAAGGATCCAAAAGACCTCAAACTCACACCCGTCTTATCTACATGTCCTCTTGTGGCAGTTCGGGCTACCTGGTCTTTACAAGTTTCCAGCGGGCTATTCCTGCTGGTGGCTCAGGCCATGCATCTGTAGTTGTGTCCATGCCATCGAATTACGGCCAGTCTGTACAACTCGCACCAGCAAGTCCGGACGCATTGACTTAGTCAGAGCGTCGGCTAGCATCTTGGCGGTCTCAATCCACCACAGCTCGTCCCCGTGGGGCATAAACTCCTGGGAGCTCTTCTGGCCATTCCCGAGCTCCTTAAGCTGAATCCACCATCGCTTCCTCCTTCCGATGAAGGACAAGATCGTCTCTGCTGACTGTCGGCTGAGGGGGCCATTTGCCTGTTGACCAAGCCTGAAAAGCTCCCTTGCCTCATGTGACCTCAAAGGGAACACATGCTCCTTGATTCTCTCCACCAGCAACTCCAGTCCGGTAGGAGGTCCAACATCCATCAATGCGTTCAGACCCAAGTCTTTTGCCATCAGAAATGTATCACCTCTGAGCCCTTCCATGACCTTAGTGACAAGCTCCACATATGGGGACACGTCCAACAGATCGTGCTCCTCTTGACTACGGGGTGCAGCAAAACCACCAAGTCCAGCTGAATGCTCACCTGAAGGGGCCTGAGGCGACACTTCAGCAGCAGTTTCTTCAGCATCCCCTTGCTCAGCCGCATCTGTCGGCTCGCATCTCCTCCGGCCACTGCTAGCAGGGCTGACCGGGGAACTGGATGCTTCCTTGGCCTTTTCCTTGGCCTTCTGTTCCATCTTCTTCTTGCAGAGTTCTACACGAAGAAGGGTCCTGAATTGCCATTCGTGAAAGTGGGATGGATCTCCACTATACACGTAGGCTCCACTCTTTGTCTCCAATGGTCCTGTAGGACTGCTTGGGCAGTACCTCAGGCCGGCCATCGACATAGCGTTCGATGATTTCGACGATTCTTCAGGTTGTTCTACGTTACACACTTACACACTTACACACACACACGCACACACACAGGTTTGGACCTAGGCTATCACCGTGAGAGTCCGGATGTCGGGAGCGAACTCTCCGGCAACCAGCTCCGCTACCAGTTTGAATTGCGCTAGGGACCGTTTTTTGCAACCAACAGCTCAAGGGCTCTAAGTCAGGGTAGGTTTGAACCAAAAGCCACACATGAGGACCATGGTGTAAGGATCCAAAAGACCTCAAACTCACACTAATATATGCATAGGTGAACTATAATGTTTCACTAACCTGAATCTTAATTAAGGCCATTTGGGGACGATTTCCCTTATTAACCATGATTCCAGGGTTCGGGAGAACATGGTTCAGTCTCGGTCGTTATAATATACCCAAATATATGTGTATAAATATATATATATATATATGCATTATCTTTATTAATAATCGTTATATCTACATATGTATATATATATATATATGATATTTACCCACATAGCTATGTTACTGTTACTTTACCCAAGGGCTACGTATCCAAGAAATCAGGACCACATCTTCGTCGGACACTCTCCGGTGGTCTCCAAGCCACCAAGCCCTGGAAAACTCAACGAACATAGCTATGGGAAATGGAGCATTTATAGAGGATGTACCAAAAAAAAAGGTGATTTTCAATAGTTAGCCTCCAGTTTGTTTTCACAGTTCGACCCTGGCATGAAAATCAGGGTTGAAAGACTAGTGAAACCACTAAAAATGTAGCGTTTTCAGGGTCAACAAGTTACCTTACCAGAGGGTAAACCATGGTAAACCCCATGTTTTAGTAGAACAATCATGATATTGATGTGGTTTTTCTTCACCAAAATAGTGAAACAAACAATTCCATTGAAACCGCGGTTATTTTTTTCAACAATCCGAATATGAAAAGGACACTGCGGTGGGCTCAATGCCACAACCATCCACACTTGAGTTAATGAAATTGGGTTATATAATCTGGGTAAATTATAATAATTCACTAACCTGAAATAAGGCAATTTTGGGGTAATTCCTCTTACTAACCATGATTCCAGTGAGGTCGCAGTGAGGTCGTTATAATTTACCCAGATATAATGAAATTCGGTATACCAGTATACCTTGCTTATTGCGTTGGCCTCTTTCTGTGTTAGGGGCCATAGCCTAATAGCATCTAATAGCTACCCAGGATCTATGAAAATAGAATCCCAGGAACTATTTACCATCCGAATGTAAGTTTCTTGTGTGAAATAGAGGGGGCCTTGCTTAAGCAAACAATCAATATGAACATCATGTCAAAAAAACGCAAAGACAACACATCAGTTTGCTACCCTCCTGTCAACCTGTCAACTAATATAGATGTGTAAACCCAATGAAAGCCATCATTTTTGGACCATGTCCCTAGGGAAACCCATGGCTTTTCCACATCGCAATTTCACACACCAAAGGTACCATGACCTCAACATCTCCCTTGCACTTCTTGGGGAAGTTCACGGCGTTGATGCCCTTCTGGACCTGACCAGAAGGGCAAATAGAACATGGGTCGGAAAAATCTCGTAAAACAAACCTTCGGATGGTGAAATTTTCTCAGAATTCCCCGGATGCGGCTCGAATATCATGAAATTGAGATTCTTAAACTTCACAATTTCATCAATGGAGTTGTTTTTCAGTGAACATTGGAAACATCAGGGTTTTCCAATGAAATATGAGGCCTCGATGGGGGATTTGGAGAAAGACGGTTTTTAGCTGTGTTTTTTTTTTTGTTCCCCCCCCATTCCCCCCCAAACAGTTCAAAACAACATATCCAAATCTGAACAAATCTGAACAAAGTGATAAAGTACATGATTTTGCTATCTCTTTGGGGGGTTCAAGATATGTACAGTATGGGCTTAGCTGAATCCCTACGACTTAGCTTAGCTTAGAATCCTGAGAATTTCAGAATGCGATGAATGCAAATCAGCATGTTTAACGGACCTGACATGAAAATAGATACCCCCTGGTAAACAAACATAGCTATTGAAAATGGCCATTTATAGTGAGTTTTCCCATTAAAAATTGTGATTTTCCATAGTTATGTTTGTTTACCAGAGGGTAAACTTCTACAATCTGTGTTAATGTGTTGGGTGACCACTGCAGCGCAATATGGAAGTATAGCTCTGAAACATGCGTCAACTTGCAAACAATGCATCCATTTTGATGATAGAATAATCGGAAATGGGACACACATTGCCAATTTTCAAAATGCCAACATGTGTGGGCAACATACCCACATTCAACATTCCTAAACTTTGATACTCCAACAAAAAGATGGGGCTATAGTAAATAATTTACAAACACTATTGACTTGGACTCACCAAACAAGTATTGTATATTGTATATTGTGTATATATATATGCATATTTCTATGTACATATACCCTATAGATTCCCCAAGCATTGGATTTCGCATTGGGAAAATATACCAAGTCATCAGCAAATAAGGAGTGATCGGTGATTTTCCCGGCTTTTACTTGGGGGATGTCCCATCAAAAATCACCATTAAACCACAATTTCTTGTTGGTGAAAACCTATCAACATCCAATTAATTAAATCACCATTTGTTGTTGGTTAAATCCCATTATATAAATCCATTCTAAAATCACAAGTGAGACCTTCATGATTTTCACAGATTGTCCCAATGATTTTCATAATGGCCAACCCTTAGATACCCTGCAAAAAATAAATTCTTAGCTGGTTAGCAAATAATCCCCTTGATACCAAAAGACTAACGGATTAGTTTCTACCCATCTAAGATTGACCTAGTAATTTGGTCAATGGTGATGACTACCTATTATAGGGAGCCAATGGGGGAATGTGGTATATATATATATACACGCTCTGGTAAACAAACATAGCTATTGAACATGGCCATTTATAATTAGATGATTTGCCCATTAAAAATAGTGATGTTCCATAGTTATATTAGTTTACCAGAGGGTGTATATATATATATATATGATGATAATCCCCAAGAATCATTCACCAACATCTTCGAAGGGGGTTTTAAAACCACGGAAACTACCTCTGCGTTTCACACAGGATGACCCCATCTGGCGCCTTGGCATAGATCTGCATGGGTGTGGCAGACTCGAAGGGAGGATGGCCTGCCACGCGAAATGGAAATCCCCAAGCGAAATGGAGCCTTTGAAGGGGTTTTAATGGGAAAATATAGGGAAGAACCTTTCCGAATTGATGTTTTGAAGGGTTTTAATGGGAAAATATGGAGAAAACACAGTCTAAATATGGATGTTATGAAAGGGTTTTAGTGGGAAAATATCCGGAAAAAAAAGGAAAACAACCTTCGAAAAGGAGATGTTCAAAGGTTTTCATACTGGGAACATATTGGGAAAATCACCTCAAAATGGATGTTTGGAAGGGGTTTTAAGTGAAACATATGGGACAATCCATCTAAGAATGGATGTTTTAAAGAAAATCCACATAGATGAAGGTTTTCCATTACCAATCTTGATCATGTCCAACCCGCATATTGCTAAATACGTGTTGTTTTTTTGCTATTTATTGAGGGAACATGTTTTTTTTTTACTGGATTAGCTGATTTTGCTAAAACCCTAACTTTTTGAGAATGTGTTCATTGAGTTTTTTTACTGGATCAGTTTTTTTAGGATCACATTGAATACCTGGATCAGCTGGCGCCCTCTTAGATGGGGATGGGTCAACGACAAGCGAAACCTACTGGGATGATCGAGTCGATCAACTCAACAAGGTGCGGATCCCATTTTTTGATGTGATGTTTGTTGATCAAAACGCCATCAACCATAGTTCGATATATATATATACATGTGTGTGTATGTATGCATATCCCGTGAACTCAAGTAACATGTAAGTGAGTAAAATAAAACAACTTAGATGTACTTCACTACTATAACATACTATAACTAGTTGGTGGCTTCAACCCCTCTGAAAAATATGGAAGTCAGGTGGGATCATTATTCCCATATATGAACTGGACAATTAAATTCATGTTCCAAAGCACCAACCAGATAATATACCCGCTGGTAAACTAAAATAGCTATGGATAATCACCATTTTCAATGGGAAAATCAACGAACTAAATGGGTCATTTCCCATGGCTTCGTTAAATAGATACCCTCTGGTAAATTAACATAGACCCTGGCAAATAGGACTTGGAAGATTAGTTTCCATTAAACATGGGTTATTTTCAGGGTCTACGTTAAATAACCAGAGGGTAATATATCAACTATAAACACATATGGAGACCTCGAATGGTTTCCTCAAGCGCTCCGCCTGACATCAACTCGAAGGTCAACACTCCCAGGGTCCACCAATCCACCGCATTCCTTTTTTGGGTGTGGCGCCATTTTGGTGGTTTTCCCAGAAATGCTTCAAGATGTGGGATTTTTTTATAGGGATTTAATAGGGATATACCTGGTAAACATACAAAAAACGATTGAACATGGCCATAGAAATAGTGGATTTACCCATTAAACATAGTGATTTAATAGGAATATAGCTGGAATACTGGTTGGTGGTTGAGCCCTACCCCTCTGAAAAATCATGGAGTTCGTCAGTTGGGATGACTATTCCAAACCACCAATCAGAATATCAATGGGAGATGTTTTCTATGTCCAGGAATTATAATAAATTGAAATATGTTCTGGAATACGTTCTGGAATATCAATGTTCGAGATTTCTCTGATGTTTAATGGGATATGTGTTCCATATATTATCTTCAACACCAAGGATTATAATATATTGTAATTAGATCATGTCGATATATGGGTATATATGGGTATATATGGGATGATGATGATGATGATGGATAATTAATTTCACATGGAATTATCCATCACACAATTAATTCATTGAAATTAATTATTCATCATCATAATAATGGGATATTAATGGGATTATCCATGAATAATGGGATTAACATGGGATTAACAGGGATGTTAACATGTGTTAATCCCATTATTGTCCAGAGTTAATGGGATATTAATGGGATTTTCCATATTAATTGATTGTCACCAAAACATCACAATGGGATTAACACACAACCCATGTCACCAGCTGGCTTTTTGGAACATACCCCGAACTAGCCATGGAGGTTAAAAACGCTGGGGAATATCATCGGTAACTAAGTGGTATATCCCTACAATGCTCAATGTATGGTATATGTATGGTATATTTACCTACATAACTGGGTGTTTTTTGGGGCAAATGTTGGTAAATATTCCAGCACCATGGAGCATATGAGTAAAGGTGAAAGAGCAAACCATGATTATCGGAGGTTACATGGAATTGATTTGGTATAGTCATACATCCCCGGATGGACACTTTCCGATGGATATAAATTAATAAATACTAAAACAAATCAACAAATAAATAAAAATAAATCCTTATGAAGATGGATTGATGACCAACCACCAAGTGACGACACACCAATAATCTATCGGATTTTTGGGCGCCCTATTCTGCAAGAAAAGTGGAGGTAAACTGGCACAGATTCTCTTTAAGACTTTACTTTGCCATAGGATCTTGAGCATTGCTTTCGTATCTTTTTGATTTTGGGGTTTCATTCAAGCTGGGCCAGCTGGAGAGACACGCAAAAAATGACCCATCTCCCGATTCTAGATGCTGCTCATGCAGTTCAAGGATTTTCTCACTTGTGATTACCCTCTGGTAAACATACAAAAAACTATGGACAATCACCATTTCTAATGGGTAAATCCACTATAAATGGCAATTTTCAATAGCTATGTTAGTTTACAAAAGGGTAAGAAGTGTACTTTTCCTCGATAAAAGCCTCATGTACCTACCATGCCCACATAGTCAATGGAAAATATGGAAGTGCAGGGCCATCAACTATTATCAATTATTTTCATCAATCATCAATTATCACCAATTGTCATCAATCATCATGATTTATCATGATCCTCGTCCATCTCTCTGTTTATCAATCATCAACTATTATCAATTATTATCAATCACCAATTGTCATCAATTATCATGAATTATCCATGAATTACCCTCTGGTTATTTAACATAGCCATGGAAAATGATCCATTTATAGATGATGTAGCTATGTAGCTAGTGATGATTTTCCAGCCAAGCTGCCCATGGCCCTTGGATGCAATCAACTCTGGGGCGAAGTAGTCGGGGGTACCGCAGGTGGTGTAGCTTTTACCTCGGCCGCGGGCCCCGCTGATTGGTTTTACCCCCGCGCCCGGGCCCCGGCGAGGTGACAACTTTTGGATGCTGTGATTTTCCAGCCTGCGAAAAGTCCGAAAAAACTATGGAACTCACCATTTTTAATTAATGGGTATATCAACTATTTCTATGGCCATTCTCAATAGCATGCTTGGCGACAATCCACTCCAAACAACCTGAAATCGAATCACCAAGCATGCTCCAATGGCTCCAATCATTTCAATCGAGCACCTGAATTGCGCAAAAAACAAGGCCAGGGCTAGAAACGTCTCAGGAATGCGGCCAGGCTAAGGTAAACACATGGCCTTCTACACGTAGCTGTGACATAGCCCAGCTCCGACCGCACGGAGCTAATCTTCCAACATCAAAGTCATGTTCGTCCGTGGTTGAAAGTTTTTAATATGGTAGTAGCATATGGAAATTCTGGGAACAATATTTGGTAACATGATGTAACATGTTATTGGAGTTTATTTTTGGTGTTGTTATACGCGTAGACTGTATAGTAACAGCGTAACACACGAAAAACAATAGAAACCTACTTGACTTTGCCACTATTTTAGCACTTCCGGCGCAGTTCCAGTGAACCCAGAGGTGATATTTCACCTAAGTAAACCATAGTTATGAGAGTCATTAACGTATGCCAACTTTTAGGGGCTAGAAATCCCGTGGTGGCCATAAACATCAGCACTTTAGCGATTCTTAGCCTGTATCAAACAGTATCAAACCATACCTATATAAACAAATAAATAAACATATATATATATATATATATTTATATACACGTGTATATATACTATATACATATATCAAAACAATATACCCATCATTTTGCCATATGTTCACCCCAATCTTCACCATTTTGTCACCAACAATCACCGGAACAAACGACCAACCCGTTTTTGGGGCCGCCGGGGCCAGGTACCGTGGATGACTTTCGCCAAGCCCATGTCCGTGAGCTTCACACGGCCCTTGTCCGTCAGCAGCAGGTTCTCCGGTTTCAAGTCGCGGAAAACGATCCTGGTGTCGAGCTGTCGAGAAATTGAGTTGAGGTATGTGGTGAGAAAAGACGCCACACTAATATCTATATATCTTTATATATATATAATATTGTATATATATATATATGATATACTATAGTTATAGGCTATATAGAATATATATATATACATAATACATATATATATATATATATATATATATAAAACATACATTTAAAAAAAGATATACATGTGGGGGTTGGTTCGGAATGCTCAATGACACAGACAATTACACTGCAAATCGCGTGTGTTTATTCACATCACCATTTGCAATCAAAAAAATATGATTATAATAATAAATGACGATTCAACATTCTCACTCACAATTACCAAGCATAAAACCATCTAAAACAAAAATAATCATCCAAAAATCAAAAATCATCCAAACCTCACATTTTGCACCATCTTTTAGATAGAATCATATAAACTTCAAGTTGTCACAGCAAAATTGAGCTCAATGGATTGGTTTCATGTTTAACAGGAAAGCCTCATATTTCATGGGAAACTCGCTGGTTTCCGGTGCCAAGGCGCTTCCGGCTGTGCAAATGTTCGAAGGCCAAGACGGTGCCCGCCACATAGAACTTGGCGCAAGGCTCGTTGCCCCACATGTTGCGCTTGTTGTACCTGGCAGCAAGTTGAAGATTTCTAGAACTGGCAGCTGTTTTTTATTGTATAGATAGCTATGCATGCCTGTACATAACTCAGTTATGATATACAGTTATATATATATATATAGTTATGATAGTTGTGATAACTGGAAAATGCATCAAAACAAGAACCATCCAAAAATCCATGGGGAAGTTGCCCCTTCCCAGATTTTTCATGTGGAAATTCCTGGGAAACGTCCGAGAAATGATGGTTTGAAAATGGGAAAATCATCGAACTAAATGGGCAGCGTCGCGTGGCTAATAGCCATATTAATTTACCAGAGGGTAAACATGGAAGTTTAAGCAACAATTGATGAGAATATACTGGGAAGATAATGGGAACACTGCAATCTTTGTTTTTAATGCAGGGCTACCAATCAAAAACTAATAACATTGCCATATAGCTGATTTTGACTAGACATGAATAATGATCCCACTTTCCAAACTCATGGGGTCTGCGGGTTTACCATGAAACAACGGTGGTGAATGATTGATTTGACTAGCAATAAAATAACGATTGAAGTGAACAATTTGGAATATGATGGGAATATGTGGGGATATATAGGAATATATGGGAATATATGGGAATATATGGGAATATGGGGTTTAACCATCACTCAAAAAAAGGTGCCACGAAGTGATATATATTTCATGGATATAATGACAATTAAGCCTAACAGAAACAATATAGTGTGAACGACCTAAGAATGTGTTGAGAATATCTCTAAGAATGTTTTGAGAATATCTGGTTGGTGGTTTCAACCCCTCTGAAAAATATGAGTTCGTCAGTTGGGACTATTCTTCCCAATATAGGGAAAGTCATAAAAGCCATGTTCCAAACCACCAACCAGATATTATTTGGGAACTGTGCGGAAATAGCCCTTTATATAGATGAGACTAATAGTGGGACAATCTTCGTGGGAATTTTTGTTGAAGATGGGGCTTAACCATCAGTGCAAAGGTGCAAAAAAAAACATTACCCGATATGGTAATGACTAACAGTTTGCCATGGGAAATGGTCCATAGAAATAGATGGTTTACCTATTAAAAATGGTGATTTTCTATGGCTATGTTAAATAACCGGAGGGTATATTCAATTATACGACGAAGTAGATATATTTCATGTGGGTAATTCGAAAGGGCTTCACGGTTTTACAAAAGCAAAGCAATATATTTTGTCGGAAGAACCGAACAAGTCGTACTGAGAATATCTTGGGAATATACATAGGGAATAGAATAAACCCAATCATACGCATTAACAAACTACCAATATACTTGAAAGTTCTCGTGGTAAGATTGGGATATCACCTACACCATCCTACACCATCCAAATTGTTGTACCTCGCACCGCACTGCTGGTACCCTGTGATGTGAGGCATGATGCATTGTGAAGCAGTCAGGTGTTTCACAGGTTGGAAAATCATGGCTTGCAACTAAAACAACAACTTCAACCTGGTTCAAATTGGAAAGTAAACATCATACAAAGTAAAACATGATCCTAGTTTTAAGATGTTTTAAGACATTTGATTTCCCGTAGGAATGTGTATACAGTACACTAAATATCATCAACCCATTGGAAATAACTGTTCCGCGATCAGACCCAAACTTTGGAGCCTCAGACCTCACCTGTGACCTGTTCGAGGGATTTCGAGGGAGTTCCATAAGGACCAGTCACGGTGACCCCTGAAAATCTCCCAGTCCAAAAACTGAGCTATACCAGGTATATGTTTTAAACATTTTTAAAAACAAAAAGTTGGGATCATCACTATTCCCAATATCTGGAAAAATCCATTAAAATCCATTAAAATCCAGTAAACCACTATAATCCATTATTCCCAACTTTTCATGGAAAGTCATTCAAAATTCCATGGTTCCAGTCACCAACCAGATCATCCCCTATGGCCCTAGGACTTGATGATCTCAACTGCCCTGCTCACGATGGAAGTAACCCAAGGCACGTGGCGTAAAGTTCACCCCCCAGGGCCAACTCCAAGAGCAGGTACAAGTGCTCGGGGCCTGAGACCCATGGATACCCAGCATGCGCCCACCAACCAACTGTTTTCTTGCTTTGGCTTTTTTGGAACCCTGCCAAAAATCAATGTTGTTCTTGATTCTCCAAGTAATTTCCGATGTGCTGGGTAACATGTCCACTTCGAACGTTGCAAAAACCATCGCGACTCAATGGTCGACCGTTCGCCCTTTTTTCCTGGGCCGAGCTGCTGTTATAGGTCTCGTAAAGCTTGACGATGAAGGGACTGTCGCACATCCTCAGCCACGAGTCTCAGAGGATCTCTTCGCCAAAAGGTGGCGCTCTATAGATATCGCAACTGGAGAATTTATAACTCGTCACCTGTTGGCTTCATGGCATATACATCTACAGATATCTACAGTTATCTACAGATATCTAGTTACTATTGCACTATGGTTAATAAAGCAACAAGCAAAACCGGGGAGGCACCTCCTTGGAAGCCTGGTCGTTCATTGAGACACATATGATATGTGTAACCTGTCTAAAAATCAACTGTTTCACGCGAAAATGATAGATGCGTACATATGCTCATGCCAAAACATTCTAATAATGAACATATACATGTCTTACATACGTACATTGCATACATAAATGCATATACATTTATGGATGGATGGATGGATGGATGGATGGATGGCTGCATGCATGCATGCATGCATGTATGTATTTATGTATGTATGTATGTATGTATCTATCTATCTATGTATCTATCTATCTATCTATCTATCTATGTATCTATGTATCTATGTATCTATGTATCTATGTATCTATGTATCTCTCTCTATATATATATATGCATATATATATATATACATAGATAGTAGAAAGTAACCATCAAAAAATAGAAATACCCTTACATCATATGTATATGTTCATTTTTAGTTTTCATCAGCTTCCACTGCTTTTTGCATTCTGAAGATCCCAATGATCCCATTGTAAATTTTTAATGTCCACAGTATTAATCTATCATCATCTCTATTCTAATATTTCGTCATCATATTCACATTTTTTCATGGAATAATCCTATGTACCATTATTATGTTTGATGCTTCCATTATATCAATTATATATTATTACGTATATATACACACCCTCCGCTATTCAAACATAAATCAAACATAAATCAATCAATCATCAATCAACCATGGCAATGTAACATACCCTGTTTATTGATGACTTTCCGATTATATAACACCTCAGTCGCCATGTTTGATTACATGGTGAAATTCTATTCTACACAAAAAAAAACTTGGTATTTAGACACACCCAGAGATTTGCTTTGATCAAAACACAGTATATGCCTATAGTCATCCATCTCAGGGAAGCCTTCTATTTCGCATCAAAAAACCCTACAAAGTGGGGCCCCCGTTTACGATAGCTAAGTTGGTGCACATAACTCCAATAACTCTGGTTTATGGATGTTTATGGTACCTATGACTATAGTTCATGGGGTTTAAAAACCATCTAACATCACTGGGGGGACCCACATTGACCCTCTGGCGTGGCAATCCAACATCCTCCATCATCGCCACAGCGCAGCTGGACGTTCTTCTCACTCATGACGCTGCTCTGCATGCCGCTCTTCACCACCTGGCCGTGGTCAAAGCTTGACCAAAGGATCACTGGGTGTTTTTGAATGCAAATGACATGGAAAAAACATGCTGGATTTCTCATAGTCATGATGTGTTCTCACCGGAAACATGGGTCTTGGTGGAACATCATTCATAATCTACGGGGTTTTTAGGGAATTTCATGGGAGATTTCCCGGGCTTGGTTTGACAATGCTGGGGATATGACATGAACAAACACCCCTGTTGTTTTTCAAATGCTAGAAATCCAGATGCAAATTTTCATGGTGAACATTTAGGGAGCTGGTAATCAATTTACCTTCTAATCAAACATATCTGGCTGGTAAATCTACCATTTGTAGATGATTTTCCTGGCGAAGGAACTCCATGGCTAGCTCGGGGATTTTCCAGGCCACGTTTGATTTGCGGGTAGTCAGGCTTCCGGCTTCCAAATTTCAAATGGTCCGTCATGAATGGATTCTAGGTGTGAGTAGGATTGATTACAGAATGGATATTTTTTTTTCATGGTATATACCCTATGGTTATTTAACATAGACCCTGAAAATGACCAATTTTTAGTGGAAACTAATCTTCCAACCCTGATAAATGCCAGGGTCTATGTTAATTTACCAGAGGGTAACTGGATAACTTACTCATCCAGTATCTCCCCACGTATCATCCGATTGAATCCCCAATGGTACCCTTGGTAGAGGAGTCACCCGCCATGCTCAACCCTGGGCAACATGAACGACTCATGTTGCCAGGTTAGCTTGAGTAAACTTGAGATCATGCACCCGCACCAAAAAAACAAAAACTGATATGAGAAAAACAGAGCCGGAAAATGCCATGGTGTTGGGCAACTATGTCCAGTTTCGAACATCTTATTGCAATTGGAAATCATGGTTGGCCCCATCAAATATAGGGGCTGCCTGTCATTTTCCCTCCAAAACAATCCAACGATTCAAGCAAAAATCCATCAAACTCCATGGCCAAGAAACGAATCCCTTGCTCAAGGCTTTCAGTGCATACCTGGGGACCGAAGCTGTGGAAAAACTCTGTACATCTGTCTATCCCCATCCCCTGTTCAGGCCTTAAACACCCACCAGAGTCAGCATGGTGGCTGTAGGGGATGATAACATCATTTATACAATGGGAGTGTTTATAGTGAAGAATGTATTTAACTATTAAACATAGGGGCTTAACATGACTTAACTGGACTATGGAAAAGAGTAGAGTAGCCCCTTCCCCCGTTCAGCCCTGCTGAAACACCCCCCAGAAACCATCGTAAAAAATAGGGGATGAAACCACATATGACTGGAACCATGCAATGGCTGTGTTTTTTTTGAAGGACATTTTTTCATCACCAATTTTGATAATTCAACTCCGAGGATCCGTCCCATGGGCGATTAAGTTATATTCCTCATTTGGGACATGGTTAATAACATGTAGTTCATGGTTAATTAACCATAGAACTAACAATGGTGTCATGAGTCATGAGGACTATGGCCTCTAATTTTATCCGTAACCATGGTTAAAACAACCGGTTGGTTACTGTAACCATGAACAAAACTATGGATGGAGTAACCATGGCACGGGCTATCCGTAACATATGTGTGATATATCCACCTACTATGGTTATCTGGTTAACTATCATGGTGCATCCACCTTCATGATTAATCGAATCTCACAGCCAGTTTGATCGTTCAAGATTCCCACTGTTGCAGTTACCCTCTGGTGAACTAACATAGCAATGGAAAATCACCATTTTTCATGGGAAAATCCACTATAAATGGCAATTTTCCATTGCTATGTTAGTTCACCAGAGGGTATATCATGTTATATGCATCATTTCATGGTAATTATACACTATTAATGGGTGATTGTCCTATTGAAACGCCCATTTCTAGTGGATCTCCAGCCACGTTTGATGACACCAGAGGGTATAAAATCAGACATATGACCCCTAGATATCCCCATCTTGTCCCCATCTGGTTGAATCATTAAAAAATCTATCCTGAAGGTAGCTGATTTCCTTGCGGCCAGCTATGGGGATGATGCCAATGAAAAATCCAAGTTCCATCATTTCAGTGACTTCACGACGTTGAGGTCATTCTAATTCATCTATACATATTACCTGGTTGATGGTATACCTACCCCTCTGAAAAATCATGGAGTTCGTCAGTTGGGATTATTATAACCCCAATATATGGAAAGTCATAAAATTCCATGGTTCCAAAACACCAACCAGCTAGATATATCTATGCTTTCTATGGTTTATAAACCAAGAAAAATGTGGGGTTTCCCCACCTTTTAGAAACCAAAACACCCACCAGCCTGATGTCCCATCAACCCCATCAAAACCCATGATTTCCGAATCCCATGATTTCCGGCGGTTGGAAATCTCTAAAGATGCCAATTTTTTGGTTCATCATGTACCCATCCATCATGTAGCTGAAAATCACCGATTTTTTTCCAACATCCCCCATTTGTTGCTGAAAATCACCTTGATTTTTAGTAGAAACTAGCCTTTCAACCAAAAAAAACCGATGACTTGTAGGGTCTATGTCTATGTGAAAATTCCGAAGTCCCAATAGCCTCTGGTAAACTAACAGTTCGCTATTGAAAATGGCCCAGTCGAAATAGTGGAATGTCCCATTAAACAATAGTGATTTTCCATCGTTATGTTAGTTCACCAGAGGTGACCCGCTGCATGGTGCCATGGTACAGCCCCAGTTAGATGAATGGAATAACCTCTGGTGAACTAACATAACTATGGAAAATCACCATTTTTGATGGGTAAATCCACTATTTCTATGGAAAATCACAATTTTTCATGGGTAAATCCACTATTTCTATGGAAAATCACCATTTTTCATGGGTAAATCCACTATTTCTATGGAAAATCACCATTTTTCATGGGTAAATCCACTATTTCTATGGAAAATCACAATTTTTCATGGGTAAATCCACTATTTCTATGGAAAATCGCAATTTTTCATGGGTAAATCCACTATTTCTATGGAAAATCATCATTTTTCATGGGTAAATCCACTATTTCTATGGAAAATCACAAAATCCACTATTTCTATGGAAAATCACCATTTTTCATGGGTAAATCCACTATTTCTATGGAAAATCACCATTTTTCATGGGTAAATCCACTATTTCTATGGAAAATCACCATTTTTCATGGGTAAATCCACTATTTCTATGGAAAATCACAATTTTTCATGGGTAAATCCACTATTTCTATGGAAAATCACAATTTTTCATGGGAAATTCCACTATTTCTATGGAAAATCACAATTTTTCATGGGAAATTCCACTATTTCTATGGAAAATCACTATTTTTCATGGGTAATTCCACTATAAATAGCCATTTTCAATAGCTATTTTGACATAACCAGAGGGTATCCATGAATATCACCACTTATAGATGAAATAATGTGGGTAAACATATATCATAAACCGGCCCAAATTACCATAAATAGGTTGTATGGTTAGTTACCATTCCCAGGAAAATGGGTGGTTTATGACATTGTTTTACCCACAGTAGGGCTTATAGATGGAGTTTTTCCCCCAATTATAGATGGAATATCCATGAATATCCCCACTTCTAATCACTTATATATGTAATATCCCCAGTTATAGATGGAGCATATCCCACTTGTATCTGGAATCTCCCCTATTTCATCCTATAGTCCAGTTTTTTTGTGGATTTTTTTTTCCCCATTACGACTTACCCGCCAGTTGTAGATGGGGTATATCCCCAATTAATGGAATATCCATAGGCATATTAGTCATATCCCCACTATTCCCCATTTTTGGGCTGAGTCATAGGAGTCATAGATGGGCTGTTTTTTTCCCACCTGAGGATTTACTGTGCAATGTGGGGCCCCCCAGTTATAAGTTGGTTTAGATCCGCCCCAGTAACTATATAGTTATAAGTGCCATAAACCATAGTGACATTGGAGTTACAAGGTGGTGCCCCCCAAGTTATAAGTTGGTTTATAATCCCATTAACTATAGCTATAATTATCTACCATAAGTCCTAGTTATTGGAGTTATGTGCACCAACTTAGCTATCTTGGGGGCCTCACATTCTGGGGCCCTCCCGACTGAGCGACACATCGCCCGACTTGGTCTCTTCCACCAGCTCCACGGCGCCAAAGCCGCCGCAGCCCAGCAGGCCCAGCCTCGGCTTGCCGTCCCCGGGGTCAACGCCGGTCAACCGTTACTGTAACGCCACGAAAAAAAACCGGTTGGTAAACCGTTTTAGAGGTAAATCAACGAAGTAGATGTGGTAAACTAAGAGAACTATGGATATATTTTATAAAATTTATTAAGAATCAACAGACGTTTGATGGGCTATTTTTTAAAAAATAGCCACATGTTAGTTTGCCGGAGGGTAGAACCGACGTAAAACCAAACGAACAACTATAGGATAGATAGATATATAATGATATATATATATATATATATGGATACATGGATATATAGGGATAGAATGAAAGCAACATAAAACTAGGATTTATATAGAGAAAGAATGGGGTCAAGTAACCTGGGATAGATCGGCAACAATATTCATCCTGAAATATCCATAATCCCTGTAGTTGGACATGGGCAGCTACCACTGGAGGTTAGCTGCATGCTTTATAAGCGAAAATAAGAACCCATGAATCTGAGCCATTCATCTAACTGAGTCTTTTCACATGTTTATCTAAGTTATACCAGCTGATATATCTGTATATATATATAGATAGATATAAATGTATAAATGAATACATACATATATATATATATATGTAGACATAATATAAAACCCACCAACAAAAAAAACTTGGGATGCCCCAGTTACGACTGCCTATCGTCATCCCCTCGGGCCCGGACTTCTTCAGATCCTTGAACTTGATATTGCCGAAGCGTTTTGAATCCTTAGGCAGGCGACAGCATGGGAGGCTCGATTTCTTCGATTTTGACCCATTTTGACTCTCCTGAGACTGGTTTTGAGGAAATCATTTGTGGGAAAATGCGATATGTTTGAGAGTAACAGCAGGTTTTGTGTCCATTTGACCTGAAATGAATCCACTCAATATATATATATATATATATATGCTCATCCTGGAGTAGATACAATATGTGTTTTCTTCTAAACATCACTAAGTCTGAACATTTGCTGTGCGTCAGGATGCTTATACTATCTTATATGTAAATATTCCCTCCAGTAATCAAACGTCGCAGTTGAAAACCCACCATTTATAGATGCTGGTTGGCGGTTTTAACCATCTTGAAAAATATGAGCCAGTTGGGATGATTATTCCCAATATATGGAAAGTAAAACATGTTCCAAACCACCAACCAGTTGTAGATGAATTGTCCCTTGAAGCTCCATTTCATGCCGGGATTTTCCAGCCACGTTTGATGACACCAGAGCTCCCCCATGCGACGATATCTGCCAGACTTGCAAAATAATCCCACCTGGTAAGTGGTTATAAGATGTTATAAGTTATACATATACTATAAATAAATCTATAACTGGATCTAACTGGGGTGATGGTTTTTTCAAATACATACTCCATATCTTGGTTGAGGGGTTAAATCAACATGGTGGAATAAAACCAGCTAGAATGAGGACATCATGGGATATGCAACCAAACATAGATGATTTGAGTTTGTCTGAATTTCCCCCCAAATATGAACATAATTAATTCAGAAATTGGTGATAGACCATCATTTGTTGGGCTTACTCCATTTTCAGAGAAATCAGTATGTATCAGAGCTCAACTGCTACTGCAACATGGTTAACCCTTTGGCAGTCCACAAAAAAATGTAATCCTTTGCTGGCTATGGCCATCTATATACATATATATATATATGTGTGTGTGTGTGTTCCATTTATAGCAAACAACGACTAAAGGATTAGTTTCTACCTATCCAGCTGGTTGGGGATGAAAAAGTCACTGAAGTTGCTGACTGCGCTTGGCAGTTCTTTCCCACCTAACAAAAAGCCTCACACACACACACCAAAAACAACATATTGCTGGAATCTTTACCAACATTTACCCCAAAAATAGCCCAGTGATTGTTGCAAGTATTCCAAACATGGAGCATATGGGCCAACTTGTCGAAGAATTCTCGTAAATAGAAGGATGGTAAGCGGGTTATAAAGGTGTTGTCCCCCAGTCATGTTAGTTGGATCATAACTCCATTTAACTATACAGATTTCATCACCGTAAACCTGGTTTATATAATATCAGCGAAGCCAACAGCTGGCTACATAGTCAACTCTGTAAATTCTGATCTTTTCATCACTTTGAATCATGTTTGGTTAATGGTAAAGCAATAGTAAACCATTCTATTTTTACCAAACATGGGCCGGTATAAACCAACATATGGGTGGTTTATATTGGTTTATTGCTTTACTACCATCAAAATCCACAACTCAGCCCATAAAATACACAATGTGGGGCCCCCCAGTTATGTTTGTTGGTTTATAAACCCCATGAAAACTATAGTTATAGGTACCATAAACCATAGTTATTGGAGGCCCCACATTGCAGGTGGATCACTTCACCCCAACCGAACGACCTTGCCACCGGCCCCCAACTATGGGCCATTGTACCATGGCCGAGGGACGATAACCATTTCGGTCTGTCGTACCTTGGCCACCACGGCCGTACCGTCCTTGCCACGCTTCACCAGCTCCGTGAGGGAACCCAACACCACCTGGCCGCTCGAGCCCGGCGGGCCGCGAAAGGGGGGCGAAATGGCCGGCGAAATGTGGCGAAATGGCCAGTGAAGTGGATGAAAACATGTGAACACCCGGATAGCATTGCAATAAGTAGCTGTAAATCCACTGGAACTAAATGGATAACAGGATACAGGGCATGATAATTAGTTCGATCATAGTTGATGGGAGAATCACTCAATGGGGACTTACTAACCAGGTCTTCTTTGTGGTTTCGTGGGATTTACGGAACAAACATATGGTGAGCATGGAGAAAAAGCAAGACGTGGATTTATCACTGAGAATAGTGATTTGTAAAAAAAAATGGTTTATAACTGGGCGAAGAGAGGTTCTGGTGAGAGTTTCTATAGTTGGATTGCAGATATGAACCAACTCAAAAATAGGGCAGGAAGTGAAAACCAAGCAGCTAGCATATACAGTTATATACTTATAAGGGAGAATCAAGCAGGATCAGATTCATGACCTAGAATGATGCAAAGGAGTAATGAGTGCGGGCATACACTTATCATCATATATCTATATAATTAACAATATATATATATATGTATAAAGTAACAGCTCGTACAAGATGAAATGACCAATGAAGTGAGGATGCCACAACAATCATTTACCATAATTTCCTCACTTACTCAGGCCCGTCGGTCATCACTTGTCATGACGCGAGCGGATGCAAAGGGAAAATGTCGTACCAATAATAGATATATATATATATACACACATATATATATATATTTATAATTATTTATATATATATATGCCAATGTTGTTGCTGTAAAGTCACCATTTGTCGGAAAGTCTGCAACTTCAATCAGTTCAATAGCCTTCCTCTCGTGAATTCCCTTCAGCCTCAAAGCTTTCCTTGTCCACAAAGAGCCTTGGTGGTGGGGATGTTTTGGTGCTTAAGCTCACAGCTCTCAACATTTCACCATCTGGACATATCTGAAAATGCAGTATCTCCAGGTTCATTGAGTATGCATCATCGGTGTCATCGTCGCTCCTAAAATCGGCATTTATTGGGGTTTTGCCTGACTTAAAAAAAGACACGCCCATTAGACCCAACAGGATTCCAAGCATATGGATTCCGATACCAAGGGCAAATCACAGAAAAGGATGTATACCATGTAGGTTAATTCAGCCCAGTTATAATCGGACTGTAAGCCCACTTACCCTATTTATAAACGGGGTGAACTAACCCACTTACCCTCTGGTAGTTATGCAAAATGGCCCATTTGATAGAATATACATAAATTACCCCTAATAATCTATAATCCATATAATCCATATAATCCATATATCAATCATATTCAACCACAATCAACCATATAATCCCTATATATGGACGATTTACCTATTAAAGATGGTGATTTTCCAGAAGGGTATAGATAACATAATCAATCATGAACTATTAAAAACCATGAACAAATGGTAATAGTAATTGTGATATTCCACTTCCCATTAACATCCATCAACCATCATTAACAATCATTAACCATGACAAATGACAACATTTTCCAATTCCCATTAACCATCATTGATCATCAATGACCATCACTGTTCCATAAATCAACAATGAACAAAAACATGAACACATGGTTAAACAACCCTACAAATCCCTAAAAACACCCCAACATATATATGATCCATATGATCCACTTAAGTCAACCATCATCAACCACTCTTCAAAACCATTAAGCATCAAATTATATCAAATTTCCATAAGTTAACCATAAATTTCCATAAATTTCCATAAGTTAACCAGGTTAACCATGCACAATCCATGGCCAACCAAAAACCCCAACGGTAACTCCCAGGTTTTTCCATGACACGTCTTGGCGCTGGCGCTGGTGACCTTCACCGTGGCGGCGCGGGGCTCCTTGTTCTCCAATGCCTGCCGGAGACATCGGTCAATGGTGGAAGATCTGGTGGAAGATGAGGTTTTTTGCTTGGGAAAATGTGTTTTTATGGATGGTAAAATGGCTGTTGTCCAATGATGGCAGTTGGTGGATTTGAATTTTTATTGCTAAATTGCTGGTAGAAAACAGAATGGGAGCGTTCTTTCGAAGATGTTCTGGTAAAAAAAGTGGCCTTTCATGACGGTTCACCGGGTCAACCATGAATCATAGAGGTATGCGCAAGGATTTTGTTGGCATGTCATGGCAAAAAAATAAGGTGCGGACCATGAAAGGTCAGAAATAGGGGCAGTTACATCAAATGTTCATGAAGGATAGTTCATGAGGATCTCGTATACATCTGCCCGAGATCTGAAGTGCAGCTGTTGGTTTTAGTTTACTAGCATTTCACTATGTTCTATGGAAGGTATATCTATAGATCATGGGGTTTCTAAAACCTAACATAAGTGGGCTGGGGGGGCACCACTTACTTGACTTGAGAGAGGATCATCCCATTTAGTAACTGAAACATAATGCTAGTATAACCCCCTGGTTAAAACTCATAAATACAAATGGGAAAAATGCATCACCCCATGAATTGGCGAATTTCACCAGGAGTATTCACTAATATTCACTATCATGAGTCAACTATAGACTATAGACTATAGATTGTCTATTATTTTAGATAGCTATAAATCTCCATTGCTACTACAAGGTGGTGCCCCCGGAGTCATAAGTTTCTTTTTAACATGTTGCTGACGCACCGTTGACTGCAAATATATTATATATATACTGGTTGGTGGTATACCTACCCCTCTGGAAAAAAAATAGTCAGTTGAGATGATTATTCCCAATATATCGAAAAATAACAAAATGTTCCAAACCACCAACCAGTATATATATATATATACATATTTCCCATGCAGCCTAGTTGTTGGAGTTACAAAGCACCGCTAGGGGACACCGACACCTCTCGGTCCATTCGCCGCCTTCTCTCCGAAGTAGGGAGCCCTCTCAGCCGTGGCCGTCAGGCTGGCCACTTCCTGCCGAGTCGGTCAAAGTATGGGATACCCGACCTGGTTATGTCAAAATAGCTATGGAAAATGGCCATAGAAATAGTGAGTTTTCCCATTAAAAATGGTGATTTTCAATAGCTATGTTCGTTTACCAGAGGGTATCCACTATCAATAAAATGGAGGGACATTAGTACCATATAAAGCCATTGAAAATGGCCCAGTCGAAATAGTGGATTTACCCATGAAAAATGGTGGATCTTTCCCATCAGTTTTTTGTAAGTTTACCAGAGGATAGTATGGGAAAATCCGAATCGAAAACGCGATCGTCTCGGGGAATCGATATCGAATACCACCAATGACTGCGGAAATCCAAAAAGAACAAAGCCAGCAATGACAATGCAGTGACTAAACCCAGGTTTCCCGGGTGGTATTGCGTATTGAGCTGAAGTATAGGGTTGAAAAGGGATGCATCTTGGGAATGGGATGCACGGGCAATCTGAACACGTTAACAGCTGAAAAACATGTTCCATTTCCAAACTCTATGACTGGCAGTTGCTGATTTCTATGTTGAAATGTTAGGGCCTCAATGCCCCAATTATATACATGTTGTATCCTTGTGTGTGTGACTATCTGCTTCTTCCTTGTACGCGTTTTCTCATTTCTGGTTTCTTGGCTTCCGCCATGTTTCAAGATTCGATTGATGTTCCTCATTTTTGTTGCTTACACTACCGTCACCATGTTTTAGCTCCTTAGATATCTTAGATTCCTTATAGCTATTTTCCATCTCCAAAAACGACCTATCCAGTTGGTTTTTTCCAGGTTTCAGTGGTTCTCCCTTTCTTCCAGCGCCCGGTCCTTGCCATCCTTGATGACTGTCACAGAGCCCTCCACCAGCAGGAAGAATTGGGTGCCAACTTCCTCGATGCCATAAAAGTATGGGATGAATTTCCCAATAGCTGGATGGTTTAGAAATGTTTATAATGGAAGATTTGATTAGAATGGATGTTTATATTAATATTTATAATGTTTAGTGTTTATACAGCATGTTTATAGTGGTTATTTCATGGAAAATTCGATTAGAATGGATGAAAACTGGTGGGTCCGGGCTCCCCCCATTTGTGGAAAGCCGCATCATTGGAGATGCAACCAGGGGGGCCCCTGGGGCCTACTTGATCTACATGGATCAATTGGATATGCTTGGGCCATGGTCCGTTGGAAGAACAGTTTCAGTCGGATCGGTGAGATACGAATCGCGGTGAGCGAATCTCATGGCCCATCTAAGGCCTGTCTGAAGAAACTTCTTTTCGACACCATCCCATAGGATCCATGGTGCTGGTATATATGCTAACATTTGGGGATATTTGGGGTATATTGATGGTAAATGTTACCATATATATATACCATACATGGATGCTATGGGCATTGGATTTGGGAATGCCCCATTTTCTCACACACCTATGCTATCGGGTGTGCTGTCTTGGAGTACCAAAGTATCTTTGGTAGGATGCCATGTCCTGGTTAGGGGTCATGATTGACAATATCACTGGGGACAATGATTTTTTTTCTTAAATATCCCATGCCCAAATGCTCCATGGTGCTGGAATATTTACCAACATTTACCCTAAAAATCAACCAGTTATGTACAATGTGGGGCCCCCCAGTTATGTTTGTTGGTTTAGATTCGCCCCAGTAACTAGTTCGTTATAAGTACCATAAACCATAGTTATTGGAGTTATAAACCAACTTAGCTAAGTAGCTCCTTGGGGAGTATCTGGGCTATGATTTTCATTTTTTTTTCGGGGGAAAAGTAGCTTCTCAGGACATTGCAGAAACCGCAATAATGGCTGTGGGGGAGCATAAATAATTCACTACTACATAATACATATAATATATATTTTATATTATATATATAATATATTATATAATTAATATGTATATATGTAAAAAAAATAATAATATATATATATATTATATATATAATATATATGTTATATTATAATATATATATATATGGCTATAAGATGCTACAAAATATAGTTGATGTTACCAGTAGCAGCATAAGTATGTGCTTTGCGTTGCTGCAGGTCGCCCAGGTCGCCCAGAAAATCCAAGGTGTTGCTGCAACAATTTCCTGGTTTTTTAGGGAGCCAAATGGTGGAAAAGTGATCTAGAATCCGGATCCAAAAATTGCATGATGAAAAAAACAACGTATACCCTGTAAACTAACATCAATGTGGACTTTTTCATTGGTTTCCCATTCGGAATTTCTGGTCTGTTCGGTCTGGGTTTTTTCTCCACATCGACCAAGGGGCGCCCTGTTCAAAGATCGTCTCATCCTTGGTGAAGGTCATTTCCATCATCGCCTTTGCGAGCTCCTGCGCCGTCATGGCGGATATTTTTCTTGATACATTGGGGTGCTAATGCATATTATATAATATATATATAATATATACATATGTGTGTATGTATAATATTAAATAACATGTATATATACTAATTATATATAATATACAATAGAGTAATACAGAGTGATTATAAACATAGTTATATTTTTTTTGCTTCAGACTGGGTTGCAAAATCAGATTTTGAATCACAGTATCTCAGTTCACTCTGAGGTCTTTGAGTTGGACATCACCTGGTTCAAGGATGGTACGGGTTGAGACATCTGGAGTCGAGTGGAACCTAAGTACTGTTTTTTTTTGTAGTTATTTACATGGGGTGATGTAGCTAAATAAGTTGATAATAGTAATATAATGTGATATAGTATAATTTGGCCGGTTCAATCTGGTTGGTGCTTGTGCCACCATTCTGGAAAGAATAAAACTCGATTAGGATCATCATCCCATCTGCAGGACGGAACAAATTCGAAGACACAAAATAATGATTGAACCACCGATCAGTAAAAAAGAAACACGGTGCATAAAACCACTATATGTTTTGATTAAACCCAAGTCAACCTTGACAAAGAACTGTTTTAATTTTTCGTGGTGAAGTCGAACATTGGGCCATCGCTCCTTCTTCTCAGAATCCTTCAGGGCAGCCTCGAACCTGGGGCCCAGCAGGCTGATTTGGGCTATTTATCGGATGTTTTCAGATGATTTTCAGGGGATGTATATATGATATATATATATATATGTCTTGTTGGTGTCATACGATGTTATAGCTACCCCTCTGAAAAATCATGGAGTGAAAGTCAGTTGGGATATGTTGGGATGATGATTCCCGATAATTATAGGGAAAGTCATAAAATTCCATGGTTCCAGTCACCACCAACCAGTATCTGTCATTGAAAATCATTGAAATAAGGCACCAGTCGAACTTTTCTGGCACATCTCATCCGCATCCTTGGGACCACCTCTTGGGTCGTGCTTGATGACCATCTAAGGGTGCCATCAATATTGAACAACTATATATAACTGATGTGGTGAGCAAACGCTACGTCCTAAATCGATTATATATGATGTGGTTTATTCCAACCTACATCAACCTACACTTGTTCCAATTCTTGCGCAACATTCACGTTGCGCAAAATGTGGGGTAAGTCTTGGGATTTCAAGCAACACTTCACATCGTCCCACGTAGTTCAAGTTCTGCTTCATCTCGGCTTCATTGGCTTTCAGCAGAATTTCCTGGCCAAAAATGGCCAGACCCCGACTCACAAAAAAAATACATCACCGCGTGACCCATAGGACATGTTGGGACTACGCGTGGGCTACGTTTGGGCCCGGTGAGGTTACTCTGTTGTTCAAATGGTCTTAGAGTCTTAGAACTTGAAATTGGATGAAATTGGCATAAATTGGCTGTGTAGTGAAGCGTGACGATGTACACAAAAAGTCCAAGCTGGGCAAAGCCCGAATCAAGCGGCGAAAATGATGTAGCTGAAGAACCGTCCAGGTTTCACATGGTTTCACATGAAACCTCACATTGTACATGGCTGTGGTGAGTAGGAACTCCCTAGTCCCCCGTGGTGGTCATTGCTATAGGGTCACCCGTGAACCGAGTCGCGGCCTCAAAAAGGGACCCGCCCCAAAAAAGTTACCGAACCGCGACGGGCAGCGTCCTTGAACTGATGACGTGCCGTCACGAAGACCACCGAATTCTTTGTCGCAGTGATGGTCGCTGCCTAAGGGGCGGTTGCTGCAGGAAAAGAGTGGAACAAGACAGGGAGCCTTGATCCAAAATCATGGGGAGGTAAAACCAGACTACTGACTACTGTGTAGGTGTAGTTCAACAACAATGGGGAGTTTGACCAGTAAACATGGGAATAAAATGGAATAAAAAAGATCACCATCGAAAAAAAAACACTGGGAATTCATTGGCATACGGATATAGAATATATACGGTATGTCTCAACATCAAATAGGGATATGCAGGGGGTGTTCCTCGAGCCAGGCGAGAAACGGAACAGTTGTAGCTGTTTTTTTCCCCGCATATGTATATTTATATATGTTTGTAAATATATATATATATATGTATTTATAATTATGTATATACATATGTGTGTGTGTGTTTATTAAGGTCACTTCAGACTTCACAACTTTGAAAATTATGGTTGCCCATCGTTTGCTGATACATGGTACGTCTATGGCCAAGCTTGGATAACATACCAAAAAGTGATTCTCACCTCGGGATTTCAATTGCTACAGTACTCCTTCCATGGGTGAAAAACATCTACCGTATTGAACAATATTGAACATAGGGAAGGCCCCCCCAGTTGTTTCTTTCCGGCGTTTTTTTTGCTCCAGCAACCACATCTCCAGAAACCACATCTACAGCAACCATACACATCCTACTTCGACCTAGTGCTTGCTTGTAGTGAAATGAGCCACAATCCTACCCATGGGCAATGATTTTTCAGACATATAATCCAATTTGTGTTGGTTGAATCACACATTCCCTACAGAATGCCAAATAAACTAAATATTGTAGAATATCGTATTAGAAACATAAAACTTCTCCCAGCAAAAAATCCTTACCTAGTGCACCAATGAAATCACCCACTATGCAAAGACATTCTAGCCGGTAAAAACATATGTCAGATGTGTAACTAAAGATTTAAATTTCTAGTGGCTGAATAGCCCTATTCTTGGCGCAGAATTTCGGCCCTTTACCAACTCTGAAAAATATGAGTTCGTCAGTTGGGATGACTATTCCCAAAATATGGAGAGTCATAAAATTCCATGGTTCCAAACCACCAACCAGTCATGAACATTCATGAACCATAATTAAATGGCCTTGGTTTCACTGACTAACTGGCCTTTAACTGGCCTTATGGATACGGCGGAGCCGGACACCACGAAGCCTTAGACACCGACACCTCGGACACCTCGGCACCATCCAAGCGGCGCGTGGAGCAAAGTAGAGCAGCGCCAACTCACCGAAGCTTCCACCCGCCTCGGTGTTTGCTAAACCCATGGAGGATCAAAAGAGATCGATGATGTTACAAACTCACTAGCAGAAAGTAGCTGTTTTTAATATATACAGTTATATACAGTATATATATATATATATGCTGTATTTTTTTCTATGGGGTTCTGATCAAATTTGCGTTGGTGTTATGCGCACAGAACGTATTTTACAATAAGGGACCCAACAATAATCCGAGTGCTTGATTTGTTTGGTTGAAAGTGAAACCACCGATGATAGAGGGTCTCCAATCTTAAGATCAATTTTATTTCATATGTATATATTCACCAAAGATAGATTCATGAGGTCATGATACCAGATCCTTGTTGGTAAATATTCATCCAGAGATTTACCCAACATGATCACGTTCCCTCCGCTTAATCTCAACAACCAATTGGATATATAAACCATATTTTTTTCTAGTTCTTTTTGGATATGAAATACGGGTTATCATAGCATCCACTAACATCCACTAACATTATCCCAAAACAGGATTGATAATAATGATTTAACCATTCTGAATGGATATAACATCTTATCAACCAATAATAATGGAGATAAACTATGTCCATAGCCATTATCAATGAGATATTTATATAATGCAATAATTAATCACATTTTCACATTTTCATATTGTCCATAAACATTATCTATCATAATCCATGATGTCTAATTAACTATTTTTGTTAGCTAAACATTGTTTGGAGTAGCTGTTTTTTTCAATGCATGCGCCCGGTGCACCCGCGCTTTAGCGCTTTAGTACGGCAGCGCCGTAAGTCCATGGAAATTAAATCCGCACCGGCCAGGCTGACATGGAGAAATGTACAAACATCGCAACGCGTATGGAAAAAAATAACGGAAGGTATCCATCTGGGTAAATTATAATTTTCACTAACCTGAAATAAGGCAATTTTTGGATAATTCCTCTTATTAACCATGATTCCAGCGAGGTCGCAGTGAGGTCGTTATAATTTACCCAGATCCATGCACTTGTCTTCCAAGACGTTTTCCGAAAATTGTACTGATTGCACCATGTTTCTAAGCTGGGCTGCCGAAAAAAAAATCTGTCCACTTGCCAGCGGCCGGGTTCTGAGGCATTGTCCCATGCGACCAACGGTGCACTGCGCCCGTCTTCACCTGTTCGATGGCTTGTTGTTCCTGCACATCGCTCATGGCATATTGCCACCACGACGAAATCCTCCTTGCCAAGCGAATTCACGGTGCTGACTATCTTGGTTGTGCCATGTCCTCTGATCACTGCTGCCATTTTTCCGTTGTTTGAGGCGAGCAAATTATGCTCTCCTGAGGGTCTGCTAATTCAGCAGTGACTCCGCTTAAGCCGCTTAAGCCGCTTAAGCCGGTTTGGATGTGATGTGATGTGTAGTTAACCAAACAGTTATGGCCATTTATTAGTTATAACTGGTTATAAGTGGGATTATACATTTTATAAATGGGGTTATAAGTACTTATAACTGGTAAAGGGCCATAACTGTATATTAAACATTCTTAAACATAGTTTTTCACATTATTTGGTTTTACCATTATCAATGCATATGGCTATGGTTCATAGATTTCATAGGGACCTGGGTCCAAAGTGTTGACCCATCAGTTTTTTTTTTGACGTCGCAATTAACAAACCGGTTGCACCGTCTTATTAGGGAAACATGGGAAACCAAAAAAAACAACTTCTACAGAAGTTTACCCTCTGGTAAACTAACATAACTATGGTAAATCACCACTTTTAATGGGAAAATCCACTATAAATTGCCATTTTCAATAGCAATGTTAAATTACCAGAGGGTAACTGGTGAATTGGTTTCCCTGATCTTTTTGTTGAAGTTCATTGATGTATTTGATGTGAAAATTGGTCAATTTGTTAACATCATTCAACAACACTTTTAACCATTTTCCAATACCATAAATGACCAAACAATCAATGCGAAATTTTGACATCAAGTTGACCTCTCCCAGTCTGTGGCTATGCGATTTTCCCATGGTTTCCTAGGGTTTTCCATGTTTCCCATGGTTTTCCCATGGGAAAAGCCACCACTCTGGGGTGTTACCCCCCCCCCGCGCACCTCAATGGTGCCCAGCTGTGCCGTGGCCGCAGCCTCCAAACCTAAGGAAGCCCACGGTCGACGAAACCATAGGGAAAACCTTGGGAAAACTATGAGAAAATCATGGGAACACCATAGGAAAATTGTGGAAAACCATAGGAAAGAATAGGAACATGGTGATGAATCACCAACACTTTTTATGGCTTGAATGGGAAGTATAGCTGATTTATGATATCTAAATGCACATAATTGGTTAACTAGGGTTTATAGAGGATGTAAATGGATTGGGCTTGGAAACTAACCATCATGGGCCATAGGCATATGATGCAGGTATCACGGGCATCCCCACAAAATCTCTAGATACATTGATTCATGTTTAAACCCCGATTGCTTTTAACCCTCCAGCAACTAACAAGACAATATGAGAGCTCGTGGTTTTTTCACCAACTGCACCACCAGGTAGCTTTAAACCTGCAGTTTTGATGTCAAAATCCCTGTCATTTGGTGGGTGAAGCACATTGAAGCACCAGTTATATCACCATGTGCCAATTAAATCACCTATAGATGTCGCAAAAGGGTACAACTCATGCCCTGGAACCTAAAATTTATTGGTACATACTTGCTATATCACCTACCTGGCATTCAAAGACACCATTTTGCAATGAACCTATTAGATACCAGAAAAATATACCCTATCCTTCCCCTATTAATTAGATACCAGTTATATACCCTATCCGCACTATGATCACTATGTTCAATTACCATTATAAGCTACAAATATGGCCGTGTCCCTGGTGTATCCTAAGGTTTCATGCTTTGGAACCTCAGATTTTCCATGGTTTAATGGCGGAGTCGAGTTGCTGGTGCCTTCTTTGCCGTCACCTTCGGCCTTAGACACGGAAAAGCTGCCCTGTTGCACGATGTAGAAATAGTCCGCCTGGATTGGGATGCCATGATGATCTGGGTGTTTTTTTTTGGAACATCTCATCCAACTATATCCAACTACCATCCTGCGGGATGGTGTGCAGGTGTGGAAATCTTACTGCAGTAGGAATTATGGTGTTTTCTGATGCTAAAATTAAAGGGATTATGGTGGTGCATTCTCGGAATTAAGGGGGTATGAATGATGATAGTGCCTCATGTTGTTCCTTTTAAACCATCCATTGATGTACCTTACATTTTCTCCTCGCAGTCAGAACACCACCAACATACCATCCCCATCCATGTCCCAAACTAACAGACACCCTCAGGATCACCAATGTTTAAAGTTTAGAGGAAACTAGCCTTCCGACGCCATATTTTGCGGGGTCTATGTTAGTTGGAGGAATGGTAAGGCCAATTCAACAAAGAGCTGCAATAGACTTCAATAAACGTATATAACAAAAACATCATAGACAAGTGATCATACCAGCAAACTTTGTAATTGGTTGGTCGGTGGTGGAAGCAGGTGAGTGAACCAAAGGACCAAAAGGTCCACATTGGTTTGTCTCAAAAAAAGAGTTCGGCCCCAAACCCCAAATCCAGTTGTTGAACATAATTTTCTCATGAAACTATTGTTATTCGGTCTATCCCATTCCACGGTTCTTGTAGCTCATTGTGACTTCACTAGGGCCAGCAGCACATCGATCCACCATCGATTTTTGCCAACTTCCAACCCATACATCTTGGCGAAAACAACAACATGTGCCATGGCCAAAAGATGATCAAACATGGCAGCCATGGAGGTTTCCGATTCGGAAAAATGGGAGTACCCCCAGTCATCATCTTTTTATGGGGATTTTCCATGTTAAATACCCTCTGGTAATTTAACGTATCTATGGAAAATGACCATTAATAGTGGATTGTCCCATTAAAAATGGTGATTTTCAATAGCTATGTTAAATTACCAGAGGGTAAACCATCCAGCTATTGCTGGAGGGGATCCCAATGCATGACTATGGAAACGCCCCAGCTTTTGATGGTTTGTCATCCCGGGGACCCCATTTGCTTGTCGACCATCCCGACATTGGCCAACCCATATCGGATGTGGCATCCATGACGTGCCCATTTCTGACTTGGGACGTGCCCAATCGTGCCCATGTCAATTTACCCATCCAACTATCCAGGCAAAATCCAACATAGCCATAGAGCATACCCTCTGGTAAACTAACATAGCTATTGGAAATGGCCATTTATAGTGGATTTTCCCATTGAAAATGGTGATTTTCCATAGTTATGTTAGTTTCCGGGAATGGGATCCCTTGCCACTTCAAGAGGCTGCATGAAAGGATTCCTTTCAGACTTGGGGTGGAGTGAAACCATGATCAATTGACCAACAGGAGACCAACATTGACATCCACCATGTTCGGCTTCGGGAGGGTCTTCAAATTTACTCAACTTATATTGTTAGTTCATTCATGGGAGAACCCACACATCGGGGGCCTCATGATCACCAGGGTCATTCCTATCATTCCATGATTTTCAGTATCAATCAGTGTTCATGACTATCAAAATCAATTAAACACCATTATTCATCCAAAATCTTGAACAAAATCATTTCATCACCATGACTATCAATTAATCACCATAATTCAATCACCATTATTAACTTACTTGTGCTAAACGTAGGGAATGAGGGAATGATCCACAAGAACTATCAATTTCATAATCCCAGCAACCCCCATTCCCATCCATTCCGTACGTTTAGCACCAGTAAGTCAATCACCATTTCTAGTAACAATGTTATATTCCATGATTTTCAGTTTCAATCAGTCTTCATGAACTTCATGACTATCAAATTCAATTAAACACCATGATTCATCCAAAATCTTGAACAAAATCATTTCATCACCATGACTATCAATTAATCACCATAAATCAATCACCATTATTAACTTACTTGTGCTAAACGTAGGGAATGAGGGAATGATCCACAAGAACTATCAATTTCATAATCCCAGCAACCCCCATTCCCATCCATTCCGTACGTTTAGCACCAGTAAGTCAATCACCATTTCTAGTAACAATGTTATATTCCATGATTTTCAGTTTCAATCAGTCTTCATGAACTTCATGACTATCAAATTCAATTAAACACCATGATTCATCCAAAATCTTGAACAAAATCATTTCATCACCATGACTATCAATTAATCACCATAATTCAATCACCATTATTAACTTACTTGTGATAAACGTAGGGAATGAGGGAATGATCCACAAGAACTATCAATTTCATAATCCCAGCAACCCCCATTCCCATCCATTCCGTACGTTTAGCACCAGTAAGTCAATCACCATTCCTAGCAACAATGTTATATTCCATGATTTTCAGTATCAATCAGTTCCCATCCATTCCCTACGTTTAGCACCAGTAAGTCAATCACCATTCCTAGCAACAATGTTATATTCCATGATTTTCAGTATCAATCAGTCTTCATGAACCTCATGACTATCAAATTCAATTAATCACCATAATTATTCAATCACCAGTATTCATCACTAGTGAAGTGGCAGTGGGTCAAAACCTTGTACCCCTGGTGAACATAAAAATAGCTGGTAAATGGATGTTCATCCCTCTAAAAATGGTATTAATAGGTATTGATTCATAGCCAAGTCATGAAAGTTCTCCCCATCTTTCCCATCAGCTGCCCAAAGGCGTGGCTGTCCAAAAAGCAGTTTCTGCGGTTTCACCAAAGACTTTCCGCCAGAGTCAATGGGAATTTCTTTTAGGTGGACACACACACACATTTATATTTATATATATATATATGTATATACACATAAATATTATAATATATATACATAGTAGTGTATATATATATATGATATATATATATATATAACATAACTTGGATCATGGTTTTCCATTCCAATTTCCTGAATTTCCCAGAAAGAAAGCTTCACCAAGGAACCTGCAAATCGTTCTGTTTAATCAAAGCAGTTCCCTCGGCCACGTCCTCCTTCCACATCACGTCACCTCGGCTCACGAAAACGGCGCCACGAAAACGACCCGTTTTGGATGGTTCTGAACCACGGAAAAAATGGTGGTTTTTAATGGGATTTGACGGCATTTTATGGTGATTTTATGGTGATTTGCACGGAAAAAAACAGTGGGTAAATATCAACTCAATTGGGATGAACCATGGATTTGAATGGGATTTCCGAGGGATTTAGCCTTTGGTAGACTGACCTAGCTATGGAAAATCATCATGGTTAATTATATAATAGGTAAATCATCCATAAATGGACTATGTTCAATAGCTACGTTACATTACCAGAGGGTATGCAAAATGCAGCAATACGCAGCAATATGCAGAGATATGCAGCATTTTGTTCCAAACCAAAATTAGTTACTTGGATGTTCATACCTCTCGTGGATACGTGGGGGTGCATCCCACTTAGTAAATGGGTCTGTGGAATATCCCCAGTTCTCTGGGTTTTCATATGGGCGTTTCCTACCATGGGGGATCCCCAATACCACAGGTTTCAATACTAAAATGATCTAAAATGCTTTAATTGTGGATGATTTGGGGGTACCCCATTTTAGGAAACTTCCATATGATCATATGGCTAAGCCGACATATGGCGTTAGCCGACCAACCAACTATCCAAATGTCTGTCCGAATGGTGTCGTTCCAAGTCACACATGGCCTTCATTCGGACCTGGCAAGGGAGTTCACCCAGAATTTCTTCAAAAGGGTGGATTGATCATTGAGAACACCTACAGTTATGGCCCGAGTTATACCAGTTATAAGTACTAAGAAAACCCCATAGAAATAAAATGTATAATCCCACTTATAACCAGTTATAACTTATATAACTAATAAATGGCCATAACTGTAGGAGATTGATAAATATACTGGTTGGTGGTATACCGACCCCTGTGAAAAATATGAAAGTCAGTCGGGATTATTATCCCCAATACACGGAAAAATGAAAACTGTATAAACATGTTCCAAACCACCAACCAGTATAAAACATGAGGATACATGAGGGATTGATGCAGGGAGATTGAACATATTCATGAACATATCCAGCCAGGGCAATGCGAATCTCAGGTAATTCCCAACCAGCTCTCAGAGTGAGAAAACAACCTGCTAATGGAGCCCGAAAGGAGCCCCTACCAGGGAAGCAGTTGGATGGCTAAAAATCCACATGTCCAACAGGAACTTCGCCTGAGGTAGAGCTGAGGCCGAGTAATCAAATGTTGGCTACACTTTCTGTTCTCTTGATAAATAAAGAACAAAGGATTGGTCCATATTGTCCCTGTGATTTAGTGGCAATCAATCACCTTGGGTGAGGCCTTAAAAAGGTAGTTAAATTGATGTGTAAGGTGGTTAACTCAGGTTTGTGGGGGATATAATATATTATACCTATATACCTATAGTCAATGTTTTTTTTTTGAGACAGACCCAAATGATGGTGGTACCATTCGTTTCCCATGAATTATATTTCTCTCTCAATGTAAATCCACTTATGACTTCAAATTTATAGGTCAACCCTCCCCATGCCCATCTTTTTTTCTTTCCGATTTATGATTCAAATGTACTACAATGTGAGGCCCCCAAGATAGCGTTCAGTTGGTGCACATAACTCCAATGTCACTATGGTTTATGGTACTTATAACATCTTATAACTATAGTTACTGGGGCGAATCTAAACCAACAAACATCACTGGGGGGCCCCACATTGTAAGATATCCCATCTCCAGTTACTTCAGTTACTCACCGCCCCCAGGTGCACATCATCGAGGTTGGCGATGGTGTTCAAGTTCACATTCTCCTGCAACGCCTTCTTGATCAACCTGGGGTGGCTGGTCATACTTGGGTATGAATTTAATCAATTGATATATTTGTTAATTCTATCTTAATACATATATATATATATATGTATATATATATTATTACTAGCCAAGCATAATTAGCAATACTTGGAAGATCCGAAAACATAATCATGAATTAAAACAGATCGAGTTATTTTTTCCCTATACTTGGCCAGTATTAGGTGGTTGATAGTGGTTGATACTTGTTAATACTATCCGATCTCTTGGGCAATTGGGCATTTCACCAACGTTGCTTCCTTTCACGATGCCATGATGCGAAACCTCACGTTAATCGACCGGCTGTGGCGAGGTTTTTTTGGATGGATCATGATGGATCCCAGTAACATTAACCATGATTAATCATCATTATTAACCATGATTACATGATTACCTACCTGACCTGAAAATCTGAAACCAATCTATTTGTATGCGCTACATGAATACTATCCTACTATCCCAATATTTAACAGCCCCATTGTTAAACCCCGGTTTATCCGGGGGATTGCCACTTGAATGGTGGATTCCCATGTTGTTCCCATGAAAGAAACGCATCGTGTTTTTTCCCGTTCAATCCCTACTCTTGTCGGCTAATCATCATCATCCAAATTTATGTGTATATATATCACATTGTAATATAACAATAATATCAATAATAATCTTGTTGGTGGTTTGAACCCCTCTGAAAAATATGAAAGTCAGTTGGGATGATTATTCCCAATATATGGAAAAATAAAAAATGTTCCAAACCACCAACCAGTAATAGTAATATTCATAACAATTCACTTACCTGAACATAGCTGATATCATACGGCCACTTGGGGATGACTGCCAAAAACAAACAGCAGACCATTTTTACGTCACACTGGGCTCATCCCAGATTAGTTAGTTATCCAGTGAATTCCCTTCATATCCTCGTTATACCATGATTTTTCGTGGCTAAATCGCCATATAGTTGTTGGTAAACTCGCCAAAAGCCCATCATATCCCATTAGCGACGTTCTAATCATCATTAAATCACCACTAGTTCAATCATTAACCATGTTTATCCATGTTTGATAGTTTTATCCCACATAAAAATAGGTTTTTTCAGGGTTATTTCACAACTCCGCTATCACAACATCGCTGGGGCCATGATCTCCAAGCAACGTCACGTCCGCATCTGACTTGGAGCTCGGCGGCTTGACTTCTGCCTGTACATCAAGAAGTGTGTTTTTTTGTGGTTTTGGTTAATAATCACTATTAATAGTGTATCAAATTGATTATTAATATTAATGGTGGTCAATAGTGAGTAATCAATACCATTATTAAGTGATTATTAATGGTGTATCAAATTACCATCAGGTTATGACTAACAGTTTGCCATGGAAAATCACCATGAAATTAATAGGCAAACCATCTATAAACGGGCCATCTATAGCATGGCTATGTTAAATAACCAGAGGGTATACAGTACTAATGTTGAACAGCATCATAGTCTCTCTCTCTCTCTACGTATATGTATAGTGTTTTTTTCATTCATACACGAACTTTCAAAAGTATCGTGTAGACAAGTGTAGAAATGACATGTGCCTTTGCATGTGTGTTCAGGATGCATGATAATATATGATAATCAATGAGTTGAATAGCATGATTCACCCCCTAAACAAGTCATGATACTCATATATTCATATAGTCTTGAAGTAGCAGGTTAATTCCACATGTTTACACCTTCAATTATCTTGCATTGACTCTTGGGACCCCAGTGACGCCTTGAGAAAACCTGGCAGCTGCCAGCAAAATGTTCACCATGTGCCACAGAGACATGCTTAAACAAAAAAAACTCGGATTATTATCAAATATTCAAGAACTGCTTTGTAACCCCCTATGACTACAATATACTTCAGCACAGCCCATTTACTAAGCCCCTTGCAGTCAGTAGCTATTTAAAATGAATTATATATATATATAATTATATATATATATATACAAACCGCCGGGCCCTAAACATCCAGTTACCTCAAAGATTGCAACGGGAAAAGCACTCAAAAATAATCATCTTGATGGGCTAGAACCTCAACATTGGGGGACTTGGTCATTGCCAAATTATAAATTACAGGATCGCAAGACCAACTCATCCAATGCGGATGGCTTTTCGAACTGGACAAACAAGCGATCAATCGAACTGGGCCTCTGGAGAGTTGCCCTGTTTTCTCAACTTCTAAGTGAGTATTTTGGATTTGCTGAACTTCAAAAAATGCGAAAAATATGGCTCATAGATTCCCCAAGTAGTGGATTTCAGCAAATCTAGGTTATAAAAAGTCAGTGAGATCAGCTCAATCTCAAAATCATCCAGATCATCCAGGATCTGGTGAAACTAATTCACCAACCTGCAAATTTAAATTTAAAACCAATTCCATTTAACAAAATCTGTCAGCATTCCCATTTTTCCATTGGTGAATCCCATGAAACATATATAAAAATCTGCCATCTCTTCGTTTTCAGCGGCCCCAAGGCTTCAAGGGCCCCTTTTTTGCCGCGCTCCGGGGCACGGCTCGGCCGGAAAAATCCGTGGCAGCGGCACCTGCACCTGCGCGCCGCCACCCACAGCGCCGCGCTTGGGGAATTCCAACTTATCCTGGAGCCCGAGACCTCAGAAAACCACATGGATTCCAAGAGTAAATGGCTCAAAGAAGAGTGATATAGTAGGGAAACCATATGGGAATAAACAACTGGTTGGTGGTATACCTACCTACCCCGCTGAAGAATTATGGAGTGAAAGTCAGTTGGGATGATAATTCCATTCCCAACTGAATGGGAAAATAAAACATGTTCCAAACCACCACTTTGTACCGCTTTGTGTAGCGCACTGTCTTGGGTTGAGAAGACAGTGCTTTGACTGGAGTGACACAAAGGTCAAGGTGGCGTCATAGCCTGGTGAACCGGCAGCCGGTCAAGCCTGGAAGAGAGGCCTCCCCAAACCGGCAAACAATGATAAAACTCAACTGCACAAACAGCCAAGGCTAGGCACATCGGCAGGCACTGACTAGAAGGGCGGTTGACACAACCCCAAAAGCTGGAAAACCAAATGGGCATAAGAGCAGCCATAACCCACACGGCACAACAAGACCCCATCATCATCGTACCACTGTGAGAGCAGGGCCACTCATGCCCACCCCATCAGTCACCGTCATCTCTCGTGCTCTTCTGCAACAAGCCACGTATGTGAGAAAGCTGATTCTCAAACATAGCCTGGATGCTCTGGTTCTGAGTCCCGCTTTGGCCGTGTAGTTGTTGAGGCTGAGCTTGCATTTGGGCCTGGAGATTCAACACCTGATGAGACTGATGGTGGGTGAACTCTTGGAACTGCCCATCAATCTGTGTTTGTTTCTGCATCACCTCAAGGTTGATGTTCTCCTTCACAAAGCCAGACAATTCCACAAACCCATCAAGGTGATGTGAGCCAAACGGATCACTGCATGCTGGTACAATGCATCCCAGTACCAAAACTTGGATACGCAGAAACAGTGCTGCTCTGAGGAGTTTGGGGAGGGACAGAGCACGAGGGTCTGCCCCTCCTTTACGATCACCCAAAGGAGAAAACGGCTGACATAAAGAACCCGCACTCATCACTGCAGCATAACTGCACTTGAACCACACTTCAGCAATCACTTGTGGACAGCCAACATCACCGATCACATACTCACATACTCTATGAACCTTGTGTAGGTCCACCAGACGGGCATTTGAGTCAACAGCAACCATGGTCTGCATCCCTACGGCATGGGCACCATGTGTCATTCCTCCTAACCCGCTGCAAGCATCGACCAGTTTGAAGAAGTCTTCCCATGTATGCCGTGAGAGATACAAGACCCTAGTAACATCATCCACCATCAGCGACGGAATAGAGAAATGCTGCACCAGGACAACATCCAGAAGGGTGAGCACATCAAAAGCTCCATCTAAGGCCACCAAGCACCATAATGGAACCAGTGTGAACTGATCTGACCAAATGGCGCTCAAGCGCAGGAACAAAGACACTAACCTTGTCCACAGTGGTGAGCCTACCTCCAGTGTCGACATCCGCAAGATCCATGATGAGATCCATGGCACGAAACGGTGAACGAAACGCTCTACGATCAGCATGGCACGGCCGCACCTGCTGGTAGGTGTAGAGCCCACGGCTGTTCCAAACCACCAACCAGTGTTGGATTTTTATGGTGAATGGGGATGTTCATGTTTCTTTGAATGGGATTTCATCTGGTTTTAAGGGTTGAGCCAACAAAAAAGGGGACACGAATGGCGTGATAGGGATGACTCAGAGTCTGCGAACTGGAAGGGGCAGGAAATGGTTCGATGATTTACCCTACTAAACATCTTGATTTCCATAGCTGTGTGAAATTATAGGAGGGTATACCAAGTATTTTGAGACTTTTACCACTCCTCATAGGTACTTGGAGGGTCTAGGTCATGGGGTTTGCTTCCATGGGCCAGTTGATATCGGGGTAAAATGAGGAACAAAAAATATGGTGCTTTAAGATATAGCTATGGACATGGCCATATGTTTTCCATGTTGGCCAATCATCAAACAACATGGATTAAATGGGTCATCTCCATCCATATTTCCATATGTTCCATACGTCAAATGAGAGGCTAATCTGCTACCTAACAGGAGGCACCTGTGCCGAGGTGTCTCTTGGTGAAATCGCCAGTGTGGTGACATTTCACCATGAAACTGGGAATCTGCTAGCTAAAATCCAGGCCTTTGTCAGTCATCTTATCCCAATTTCTGGTGGGTCAATGAGTGCCTTAATCCACCAAATGTCATACATGTTCATACCTGGTTGGTGGTATACCTACCCCTCTGAAAAATATGAAAGTCAATGGTAAGGATTATCCCATATATTCGTGGAAAATAAGAAATGTTCCAAACCACCAACCAGTACATGTTCATGCATGTTCGTACATGTTTCACCACACCTTCTCCACCCTTCTTGCGAGTGGCTCATGAAGGACTTGCGGGTGATCTTGAGGGTCACCACCTGCGCCGCACATGGTGAAAACATGTGAAACATGTTTTGTTTTTTTGTTTACATATTACCCTCTGGTAAACTAAGATAACTATGGAACATCACCATTTTTGGTAAATCAACTATAAATGGCCATTTCCAACAGCTACGTTAAATTACCAGAGGGTAGTAACTGTTACTACATTCATTCATCACATTCACGGAATTCATCCATGTTCAATTTTCTGATCATTCCCATGGTTTCCCGAAAGAAATAAAAACACAATGAACAATTGATTGCTAAATGTGGTTCCGGGAAAACAACACCAAACCAATGAATGATGTGTCACAAAATTGGTTGAAAGGACTATTCAGTGAAAACCATGTCCCCCCCAGCTTTCATGTAATGTTCCCTTCATCCAATTCTTGGAATTTATTGAAGAATTCCGGGAGACGAACCAAGAAGTAGGTGCGCTAGACTGGTTTTAATTTGGGCTGTAGAATTGGGCCAATTGAACAAATTGAGTTACCAGTTTCCAGTCTCAAATATGGATCAACAAACAGACTGAACATTTGAAAGAAACCAGCAACATCCACCAACAATGTCTGCACATAGAACAACTGAATATTGACCTTGTTGAAGTGCAGCATCATGCAGCAACGGACACATTGTGCGCAGGCATTTGGACAGGAAAACTGGGACTGAAACTATTGTGACAGGGGGGCTTACTTTTTGCACAATGAGAATGGGGGCTTATCACCAGAAACAAAGCGGACAACTCAATGCCAAAAGAAAAGGGGCACCCGAAAAATCTGGTGATTTACCCTCTGGTAATTTGTTACATAGCTATGGAAAATGGCCCATTTATAGATGATTTACCTATTAACAATGGTGATTTTCCATAGTTTTTTGTATGTTTACCGGAGGGTAACCTGGCAATGGGTGAAACTTTGACCACCAAAGTGGATGGACGATCTACAGCAGGGATCACATCCGCGTAGGGAACGATAACATTAATAGATCCATTAACCGTTTTGAAGGAATATTGCTGAAACAAAACAACAAAATGGACATTGAAAACAATTACCACTTATTAAATATGTTTTATTATGTTTTGAACTTTCCATTTTCTTTTCTCTTTGCCATTTTGGGATAATTATAGTACAATCCCATCATTTCAGTGACGTCGCGACGGGTTCGGCCGTGCTGTCATTCAAAACGTCATTTTTTCATAGATGTTTCATTCAAACCTCCATGTATACCGGTTTCTCTCATGTTTCCATGTGTTTTTTCCATGTGTTGTCCATCATTTTCCCTACATGTCCCTACATGTCCCTACATGTTCCCTATATTTCCCATCATTTTCCCATCATCCCTTTACATTTTCCCATGTTTTCTGCGGGATTTCCCAGCTTTTTTTCATGGCTCCAAGGCATCGAAACCCGCAGTTTCCAAGCGCTTCGCAGGCTTCGCAGGCGCCTCTTTGGTCGCCTTGATGGTGGCGTTGCGCGGCTCGTTGCGGAGCAGCGCGTTCTCGCCAAAGTAATCGCCTCGCACCGTGGGGACCATGGAAATACTATATGTCTTTGGAGAAAATATTATATATATGTAGATATATATATATATATATGTAGATATATAGGTAAACGTGTATATATATATAATTATATATATATAGGTAAACTGTACATATTATATATATAGATACCATAATATTGTAAATGGGATATTCATGTATTAATATCCTATTATCGTATTATCATCGCTCTGCTAATCAAACATAGCCATCGGAAATCCCCGAACTGAATGGAGGATAATGGATGTTTCAATGGGGAATGCAAATAATTATATATATATGTCAAGATTATCATGGGATGGTATAATTAAGTATGAGGAAATATATGCATATATGTAATCATATGTATAAATCAATAAATTAATATATATATATATATTATATATATATGGTGGCTGGTCAAAATGTCTTTTCTCAGAAGTATGCAAAAGTCAAGAATAGCTGGGTGCCCGCTACATAACTTTACTTCTGCGTCATGTATCTTGCTTTTCCTTTTTAAATCACAGGGAATCAAAGGGAGGAGAATCATTGTTGCATGTTGTTGCGAACGTCGCTAGCGCGCCGCACTTTCAACCACTCTTGGAAGAGGAGGATGGCGTGCTACTGTCTGATTCTTGTGCCATGTCCTGCAGAGATTGCCTTGGTGAATGCCTCTGGCACGCTTTACTTGTAAAGCTCTTTGGATCTCTTTGGTGCCTCCCTATCCATTTGCCGTCAATCAACCCCGCTCATGTTTCGAGCCTAAAGAAGTGCCACACTACTTTCGGAAATATTTGTGACAAGTACTGGGGTTCTCAAAAAAAATGCAATGGCTGAACTTTGCGAAACTCAAAACGTCCAAACCAATGCAAAGCATTCCGGATACTTGTGGCAAACAACAAACTGTCACATCATCTCAATACCATGCCAATTCCACACAATACTAATACGATCTATATAATACGAAGAAGCTTCCTTCCAATGCTAAGCCGAATGTACAAGTGAACTACTTCCTGGGAATGTTAAAACCAAAAAATGCTAGCTCACTGTTAACGCGAACCTAGCGCCAAGCTGCATAAATGCCGTGTTTAGTTGGGGGCCTACATAATGAAGACAAACAACCTATTGTCTAGAATTAGTTTCGCAACTTGATTTACTTTTCCTTGGGATTTTTGACCGGATCCCAAATGTATATTTATATGTGGTTATATATCTAGTCTGGGTAAATTATAATAATTCACTAACCTGAAATAAGGCAATTTTGGGATAATTCCTCTTACTAACCATGATTCCAGTGAGGTCGCAGTGAGGTCGTTATAATTTACCCAGATCTATAGTGTTCTCATATGATTATCCCATATGAAAGTGGAAGCCTCACAGTGCTGTAAACGAACTCGCTGCCTGCTGGCGAACATAACTCCAATAACGATGATTGTTTGAAGGCTATGTGTATGTATATACCCTCTGGTAAACTAACATAGCTATGGAACATTGCCATTTATAGTGAGTGTTCCCATTAAAAATGGTGATTTTCCATAGCTATGTTAGTTTACCAGAGGGTAATGTAATGGGATACTAATGGGATAGTCTAATATAGTTATTTTCTCATTATTAGTATCTCATTATCCCATTTCTGTCCCATTATCATATGGAATGGTATAATTAATATGATTATCCCATCCCCTGAAAACCCTAAGAGGTGAGGCCCCACCATAGATAGAATAGGTGAAATATACTGCTGTTTCACTATGTTTTTGAGGATGCAACTATGGCAACTATATGTAACTATAGCTAGATATAGCCTAGTTAGTGTTCTAAACAACTTACAACGGACCGCCCTTGTAGTTGATACGATGTAATATAATCCAATTTCACCTCGTCTATGCTTACATATGCCACATACATCCTCATGACTCCCTACTTTGAGTCGAGAGGATTTTAGCCACCCACTAACGGACTGGTTCAAAACAAAGTACACCGAACATTCATCAAACTGAAGATGAATTGAACGGAGAACTCTGTGAATTTTCAGATGTGTTCCCTTTTCTTTTCGGGATGTCCCGGACATTACATGATGAAGCGGATCCCTCAGTGACACTTTCTTTCACCAAAGTTTACCAAGGTTTGAAAACCAAAGGGCCTTGATGTTTCATCCCCCTTTTTTGTGTGTTGAGAATGGCTAAATCAATGTAAATCACCATTAAAAAGAATTAAAAACATATTCTTATTGGAAAGTCACCAGATCTGCTTGGTGGTTTCAACCCCTCTGAAAAATATGAAAGTCAGTTGGGTTTAATTTTCCCAACCAAATGGAAAAAAAACAAATGTTCCAAACCACCAAGCAGAGATTTTATAAACAATATTGCAGTGCAACAGCGCTGGTGTCCAAGTGCATCAACTGCCTCGGGAAAACGGTATCAATGATTTGAGGGCTGACTAGCCTACGGTTTATTCATGTT